ACAAACATAATGGCCTTAGGACAAACATAGGTATGTTCCTTGTTTTGGTCTTCAAGCCAGGAACGACAAATACCCTCTCGGTGTCACTAGAAATCGAGAGGGTTTGGGATGACATTTGGAAAATGAAGTCCTACAAATTTGATAACATGCTTATGAGCCATCCTGAGACTCAATAATTTATGGGGAAAATGTTCTACATTATCGACGGGAATCATCGCTGGTGTGCGTGGATGAAGTGCATCAATGAATGCTTCCGAAATGATCCTGTCTATCACATCAATGTTCCAGTTGGACATGTATATACAAGAGGATCTCTAGATGTGGCAAGGCTTGTGATAGCTTGCCACAATTGTAGCACCATTATTATCTCATTTGTATGCAACTCAAGTGTTGGGAATATGATTGTAGGTATCGAAAATTATTCATCAACAAGTCATTTCAGATATTTTTTCTTTACTGCCATGACAACAAGAGGTTGGTATTAATAGACTCTTTATCAATCTTCACCCAAGCTAGTTAAGAAATTGGTCATTATGTATATATTTATACTAGATAAACATAAGATAGGAACTCTTATGTGTTTCTTGCTGAGCATACTCCCATCATTGTTAACCTGTAAAGTATAAAGTAGATGACCTTATGTTAGTTAATTTTCCCAATCTTATAGTGTATAGTTTGTCTAAATAGCTCCTTGCTTAGTGGAAGAGATTGTATCAGATGTTGCGGTAAATTGAATGTAAGCTCTTGAATTTAGACTTCTCGAGAAGTCACTTAACTCAGTACTATTCAAAGTATTCCAAGACCCTTAATTAATTAAAAAAGGGGGTGCACTTTTATTCATGGGCCCTTTTCCTCTATATTTGAACTTTTATGGATTGTCTCTCAAATCATTTTTTTTTACATTGGACACAAGTATATGAGGTTTGGCATGACATTCAATAGGTTGATCCTCTAAAAATTGTGCATATAAAATAGCTGAAATACTTCATACAAAAGGATCATAAATAACTAGCATCTACAGATCCACTAGTTCCTCCACCTAATATTCCTCCAAATCCCTATCAACCAAACAATTATAACTACTTTCCATTCTTCTAAAAGGAGAGGATGATATGAGGTTCAAGTGTATGGTTACAATGCCATTTATTATTATTACTGTAATGGGATTTTGATAGCCATTGAATTGGTTTTAATTTAGACCACTAATAATTGAATATGCATATTTAGCTAATTGAATATGCATATTTTTGTATTTTATTTCCATATTTCATGCACTCATAGATTTTTTTTAATTTTTCTTTACAAAGTAAAGTCATATACCTAGATATCTAAATATATTCTAGGATATTCTCTAATCTAAGGGCTCTTAAACTTTCTCTAATTAACTTGTAATCAGTGTTTAAATTTAATTGTCTAACTTATCACTAATGTAAATAATCTATATTGAAAAAACTATTAACACTTATTAACACTAACATGTAACAGAATGCCAATGTAAACCTTAAAAATAAATTTAAAATTAACATCATTAAGTCCTCCACACTCATGGTTTCTTTCTGTAATATAGAGGGCACAAAATCCAGCCGTCTAAGATTGATGGCCTGATGGTTAAACACAAAAGAACTTAAGAGAGTTAAACATTGTTCTAGCTATTTAAAAACTAGAGACTAGTGGGGACACCATTTCTCGCCATTTGTCCTGATGCGCAATAGCTAGCAATTAACATTATGCAAATGCCTCAATCTAAACAAATGCCTAGTTTCATTAGTTGTTATGTTTAGCATTCAAGTATGTTAAGAAATATATTAGAATATACATTATGATATATTTTAGATAGCACAAAAAATAATTTAAAAAGAGGAGTAGTGTATTTTAAATAGTACAACAAATTATTTAAAAAGAGGAGTACCTAGACAGATAAAATTGATGGATCAATTCCTCTCTCTCTCTCTCTCTCTCTCTCTCTCTCTCTCTCTCTCTCTCTCTCTCTCTCTCTCTCTCTCTCCATTTGTTTCTTTCTTTCTATGATTTTGCAGAGTCATCAAAAAAGGTACCTGGCATTGAGGTTCCACCATAGGCAAAAAGAAACTCTGTTGATCTTTTACAGGGAAACGTTTTCCTACAGGCCTTTCTGAATTGAATCCACGGAACCTGGAAGTCAAAACAAGAGAGAGTAGCTTCAAAACACTTAAAAGCTCACCCCTGCAGCTCCTGTGGATCACAATTCAACTCCACTGCGAGAGGAAGATCTGTGGTGGGGTTCTGTTATGGTGAGTGAATGGTCAAAGGTGCGAATATTCTCTCTACAAAAATCAACAATCCCGCCATTTTCTTCATCGCATCTCCCGAGAATTGGGATAGCTCTCCAGCTTCCACTTGATCTCTGCCCACTTGAGGTGAGATGCATGGATCCTACAAGAAGCCAGCCGTGGACACCACACTGTTGCATCTCCCGAGCTATTTTGTTCAAGATGCATGGTATACTGACGTGAACTATAAATTGCAGTGCGGGATCACATTCTAACTGATTTAATGCTAGAAGCAGCTATGATATCTGACAACTCCAAAATGTTGAGCCTTCGCGGCTTCCAATATGCTTTGTGGAAGGTCCCGATGGTAAGTTTGAGTTTTATTATTCTCGCAAGAAATTAACCAGCTGGGAAACCCAGAGCAGTTATTAAAGAAATAGTTCCATTTCTTTGTGAGGAGTGTCAGCAATCGCAACTAACACTGATACTCTTGGATCGCTAAGTATGAAGTTTTTTTTATCTGTGCATAATTTAGGTTGATTATGTTTCTCAGTTCGGTGCTGACCAGTATCTACGTCTGGCGAAACTTCTTGTATTGTGTAGGATCATCTCGTTCTTGGACTCCAACGTAATAAAATTAGGGAGTTTCCATCGAGAAGAAATACTAATCTTCTCTATTGCAGGTTCGTCATAGTATTTATCTTATTTTCGCAAAACTTTCCCACATGAGAAGTTTACAGTTAATTCTCCTCGGGCATACTTCCGATGCTGTTTCTTTTCTGTTGGAAAGCTCAGTGTTTTAGTTGTCGTCACTAACACTAATACCAGATAGCACTACGCCTGTACAAGTACATAGCCTGAACATCCTAGCATGGTTTATTTCTGAAACTTCTATTTCGGACGAGAAGCAGTTACTGTTGGCCGTGGTTGGCTGCATTGTAGCTCTTGCAAGCACTTTGAAGGTAAATCTTGATTTCATAATTTAAACCAGTCATAAATCTTTGTTTGCAGTCTGTGCCATGCGGTGCTTTAAAGCAATCAAGCAGGAAGGTCAAGTCTTGAAGCTTTCTGTGCTTTTGCGAGCCATACATGACAATTCCAAGAACTTCGTAAACAACAGGAGGTTTTTGTCATCCTTTCTTCATACTAGTCTGCTCAGCGAATGAGAGCAAGACAAATAGAACATGTGATACGTTTCATTAAGTTGCACCTCCGCCAACAATTTCAATCTTTCTAAGAACTTCAGACATCTCCCACCTTTTGCTTTGTTGGTTCGATCCAGCTGAAAATTATTGACTTGCCAGAAGGAAAAAAAGCAGAAAAGAATTCCTTGATTTGTTTCGTTACATGTAAATTCTTCTATACTTCTTTTCTTTCTGGCATGTCACCAATTTTCTATGTTGGATCAAATCAATAAAGCAAGGCGGCTGTATGAAAGATTGAGACCCTCTGCATTAGCTATTGCATTAGCTATTGCATTAGCTATTGCATCAACAACCCACAGATGTGCAACCCAATGGCTAAGGGAGTGGAAATGAGTGGGATGACCATAACCTAAACGAGACGCAGACAAAGTTTAATACCTTACAGTCTCAATGGCTGCTTTGCCATCTAGTTTTGAAGCGTAGAACGATTGAAGGTAATTTCCATAGACGCTTTCTTTGAAGCAAGCAGGCGCTTCGTCAGCGACCAGCTGCGCCAGCGGAGCAATGTGACTATCTTCTGCTGGCCCATAGAATGAAGCAATGGAGACTCGAGTTCGCTCCGAGTTGACAACTGCTCGGTGCTCCACACTCTTGTACGCATCATTGGAAAGAATCTGAATAACACACAATCAAAACCTGGAAATCTCATGCATGCACGACGATGACGATCGAAAGAAAGCTTACCTGAAGCTGATCTCCAATGTTGACAACAAAGGCGCCAGGCAGAGGTTTGATCGGCACCCACGCTCCACAGTGTAGAATCTGGAGGCCATCTTTCACCCTGGTGTCCTGCTGGAGTATAGTGAAACCGTTTGGATCCGCGTGAGCGTCCAGTCCGATTGTAAGCTCCGGCTCCGGACAAGGTGGATAGTAGTTCATCCTCATCGCATGCCTCTCTCCTCCAAAAGCTTCCTCCAGAGCACCACTTTCCAGTCCCAGTGACTCCGAGAACAATCCAAGCACTCTTTTCGCTAACCGGTTCATGGCTTCTGCGTAAGCGGTCCAGATCTTCACGTAGGATGGAGGCTTAGTCGGGAGCTGGGCGATCTCGCAGGGAGGATAGCACGCCTGGTGGAGGTAGTCTTGCCACATTCGTCGCGTCTCCTTGGACGGGATAAAACTCGTCCCCATCCGAAACTTTGAGGAGCTATCCTCGGCGTAGTACACGGACCTATCCTCGATGGGAAGGCGGAAGAAGTCGTGGACGAGCTCCATCATGTTCGCCATGAGTTGTTCTGGAAATCCATGGCCGATAATCTACAAGAACGCAGTGGAATTTCAATCAATGGTGAGCGATCTCGTGTACCTGGAAGAAGCCCCAGTCTCTAGACGCGCTCCGGATGGAATCAATCGCCAATATCCGAGCAGGGGAGCACTTCTCCACATCGAACAGATCGATCACAGGAATTTCTTCGATCTCCACGCACTCCCGTGGATCTGAATCCCTGCGGTACTCACCGGGCACCATGCATCCGCCAGTCCCTTCACTACAGCGATCCTAGACGCCACTGCCGCCATTCGTGAATCTCGAGCCGCGCCACAGTGATCACCTAATAGACACGGAAGCCGTCCAAGAAATATCATCCAGAGAGAAGGGCATGGCGAGGAGGAGCTCTTTGGCTTGATTCGATCGCCCCGCACGACCCAGAAGATCTAAGTGCTCGGCTCCCGGATCCACGCCAAAATCCTGCCGCATCGATGTGAAGCAGCTCCATCCGGTGTCGAGAAGCCCTCCATGGCTACATGCGAAGAGAATCCCTGCGAATGCGTAGGAATCCGGGTGGACCATCCCCAAGAACAGCTCCACGGCCTCGCCGCTGCTCGCTTGCTGTGCAGTGGCAGCGATCGCGATCGTCCACGACACTGCGGAGCGGTTCTTCAGACCCAGGAAGACGCGCTTGGCCTCGCCTGGGCTGCCGCACCGCACAAACATGCTCATCACGCTGTTCATCACCACTGCGTCGCTGCTCCACTCGCTCGCGGCGATTCGCGAGTGAAGATCCCTGCCCTGGGATCCATCCCAGTCCCGCGCAAGCGTGGAGAGCGTTCACGTATGTCACATTGTCTGGACGCACGGACGAGTATTTCTTAACCATACAATGGTACAAGTCAAGGGCTTCTGTGAAATACCCGTTTTGGGCAAATGCTGCAATAGTAGCGTTCCAAGTGATCACATTTCTAAATTTTAATGAATCAAAAACTTTCTTTGCTTCGACTGCTTGCTGCCATTTTTCATACATGTTGATCATCGCATTACCCACTCCAGTCTCGAGAAATCGATGAGACAAGCTGGCAAATCTCGCAATGACCTCGGCATGGATTTTTTTGCCGTCTTGCAGAGATCCTAGAAATGCACAAGCACCGAGGGCGCTCATGAAACTGCTCGAATTCCTTTGAACGCCCATCTTCTTGTAGAGATTGATCGCCTCTCTGCAATGCCCGGTCTGGGCAAGCGCGGAGATCATAGCGTTCCAAGTCACAACATCGCGTACGTGCATTTGACAAAAAACACGCTTTGCTTCCTTGATTCTGCCACACTTTGACGATAGAGGTTCCAGCGACAACATTACGCTCCCAGCCACACGAGCAAGTACGCTCGTGGATCTTTATACCCTGTGCTTTATCCTGCTTCCAAGAACACGCTGCCAGGATCTCAGTCAGCGTCACCATATCAGGCCCGATCCCTTCCAGATCCAACTTCCACTGCAGCGCAATCGCCGCTCTAAACTGCCCATTATGGGCATTTGCGGCAATCGCAGTGTTCCAATGCCGGCATCCCGGAGCTGGCGATAGAGCTCGATCGCAGCGGGGAGCCCGCCCTGATCGGGATTTCTGGTGTAAGCAGCCAGCATCGCACTCCAGGCGACTATCGTCTTGCGAGGCATGTCATCGAAGACCTTCCGCGCGTCTGCCAGGCTGCCGCATTTCCGATACATGGTTAAGAGGGCGCAGCACACGACTGGATTGCTCGCGATCGCGGGTGGCGCGGCGACGATCTGGGCGTGGATCCGGATGCCCGACTGGAGATCGCGGCAATTGGCGCAGGCGGCGAGCGCGGCGACGAACGAGACGTGGGTGGGGCGGACGACTGAATCGCTGGCGAGGGCGAGGAAGAGATGAATCGCTTGCGCGCTCTCGCCGTTTGCGCAGAGCGTCGAGATCATGATGTTACAGGAGAAGGCGTTCTTGTGGACGAGATCGTGGAAGACGGACCATGCGTCCGGGAGGCTGGTCCCATACATGAGGATGAGGAGATTGCTGAACAAGGGGTGGTGGCGTAGGTCGAGGGTGGCGGCCAGGCGGCGGTGCAAGAGCTTCCCTCGCGGAAGGGACTTGGAATCACCACATTGGCGCAGAAGAGTCGCGATTTGGCGATGGCCTAGCGTGGAGATGCCTGCAGGAGGCACCGCGATCACTCCTCTTGCTACTTCGCTGGATGTCATGGCAAAGACACACTCTCTCTCTCTCTCTCTCTCTCTCCCCATGATCCTGTGAAGAGGTTCATATGGATCATCACATTTTTTGTCAATAGCTTCACATAGGCACAAAACAACAGACATAAAGGAACTCAGAAGCAATCAGTCTTCTAAGCATCTTATCCTCCGGCATCAAATGTTGGATGAGTGATGTCCTTTTTGAAGTCTCACTTGTTGTTTGAGGTGGGCACGTGCTCCTATTGGTGTTCATGGGGTGTTGCAAAGCTGTGGGCTCTCAATGTAAAGGGGATCTTCCTTGGCAGCGTCCCCATCCTCCGGCATTAGGTGATCCAGTGTGGCTGTGAGGCTTGGGCTTATTTTGCCCTGTTGAAAAGTTCACCAAAGACCTGTACATATCCAAATTCTGGTTGAAAGTGATCCAAATGATCTTCTAAGGTCATATGTACTCTTAAGGATCTTGTTCCAAAGATCTCAGTCTGCATTGACATATACCAAATCACAGTGGTTGAACTTGGGTGTGATTTTTTCATGGTCATTGTGTAGAAAATGTAAGCTATGGATGAGCACAGCACAATGGAATCCTAGCACTATTAATCCCTACTTATAAATGAATGCAATTACTTTTGGCCCCAACTTAGATTCCTTTTTTTTTCCTTGTTAATTTGAATGATCCGAAACCATCCTTCAAGTTTTAGGTTTTCTTTCATTTTTTAGGGTATCATGTCATTCTCGATTTAGACAATCCACTGGTATACGCTCATAAGGATCTCATCTCTTCTGAAGATTTCAGCATGGAATTTGACGATGATGCACCACTCCACATCATGAAGAGATTAGGTGTAGATGAATTTCTGGGGAAGGTTTCAAATGTGTACGATATCGTGGTGTTTAGTGCCGCCGAGGAGAAGTATGTCAACCTCGTGGTTGACCATCTAGACCCTACTGGGAGGCTTGTGTCGAGGAGGCTACATTATGGCAATTGCGTTGTTCTAAAGGACGGGACGAAAGTCAAGAATCTTGACCATGTAAGGTTTCGGGATTTCAAGCGGGTGGTGGCACTGGATGACATTATTGACTTCTACCAAGGTCATCAAGAGAGCGTGGTGGTGGCTCCAAAGTTTGAGGGGTCAAAGGATGACCACTTCTTGGCAGATGTAGCCCCTTTCCTTCTTGCCCGGATTTTACCAAAGTTACCCATCGCTGGAACATTGGACAATGTGTGGAGAAGCAAGGCAAATTGTATGTCCCTGATCCATTCGATGATGAGTAATTGATTGCTATAGTTGTAATAAATAATTATAAATTTTTCACACTTTTGTAGTATTTAAATAATGAATTTAAAGCCTGAAAACTCGGGTCTAAGTTTCAACTTGTATGAAGAAATTCTCAAGCTTTGTTGATCTTTTATACATATGTTACAAAAGTGTATCATCCTAGTAATGAGCTCACAAACTTTTGCTTGGCTGAGCCCAAAGCTCATTGGAAAAGAAGAGCTACCTCAGTTGGAAGTTGAGGTACTTGATACAGTAGGCGAACATGAAGGCGAAGAAGACCGAGAAACCGACCAAGACACCCCCGACGGCACCCAAAAAGTCGTGGTCGTAACCAAAGTAGCTCTCCACAAACGCCTTGACGGTCGTGCCTCGGCCATCGGGTGTGGTGAGAGGCGTGAGATCGTCTCCATATTGGGACGCGATCAGGCCATACACTGTCCACGCAACCGGACAGATCCAATAGTACCAGATCCACCACTTTGGAATTCTCTGCAATGGAATGGAACGTTGTGAGGAAACAAACGAAAGCAAAAGAATGGATGCAGCTTACCGGCTTGGGAATCATAAAGCCCGAGAAGAGATTGAAGAGCGAGTAGAAGGAAGAGGCCATGATGGCAGCGACCTGGTGGTTTGGGGTGATCGCCACGGCCATCATGCCGTAGTACGTGAAGTACATGAAAGTGAAGAACATGACGAAGAAGTACCACATGAACTTGGCAGCGCTCCACTCGAAGTTGATCATCGAGTACGTGATGCCGGCGTAGAAGATCGTTTGCAGGAAAATGTATGGTATCTCGATAAGAACCTGATCAAGAGTTTAGTGTGAATGAATGAAACATAGTGTGGAGTGCAGAAACTTACTTGAGCTAGAGCATAAGGAAGGGCCGAGTACATTCCAGCAGCACGCTCCCTGTAAAACACAGTTCTCTCGGTGGCGACAACTGGTTGGACTGTGGAGCAGTTGTTGACCCCCAAAAACATGGTAGCACCATACATTGCACCAGCCACGTTAAAGAGATCTTGTTGTCTACTCCTGTAGAGTTTCCAAAAACGGCGTTAACATGAGGAAATGAGTAGAGATGTTCTACCTCTTTGGTCCAACGTTCCAAAAGATCGATCCAAACAAGAGCGCTGACATGATTGTGAACAAGAACCGGACGCAGTTGTAATCGGGACTCCTCCAGTATGTCCAGTTTTGCTTCCACAAGCACGACTTGAGCTGACCGTAAAAGGATTGAGAGTACTGCGTTGAGAAGTGGAGGTCTCGCCTGTCAGGAGCTGGGACACTCAGCTCCTTCACAAGAGCCTTGTTTCGTCTGTAAGAAAAAGAAGATCATGCCAAGGTAAGAGAGAAACTAGAAAACTCACTGGTAGAGTGACGAGTTCAAGTAGATGTTTGCAAAGTCCACGTTCATTTTCTGTTCCACGCTCGTTGAGCTCACCTCAAGCATCCATGTTGCGGGGTTATAGCCGTCTTTGATCTTCGGGACTCCCGGGATCGCTTGGAAGTAGTCGATCAGCTTTTGGGAATTCCTGCCTAGCGGCCCAGCGTAGACAACCTGCCCTCCTCTTTTCAACAAGAGAAGCTCGTCGAAGGCCTCGAAGATGTCAATGCTCGGCTGGTGGATGGTACACACGACGGTTCTTCCAGTGTCGACTGTGTTCCTCACCGTTCTCATCACGATTGCGGCAGCTCTTGCGTCCAACCCGGACGTTGGCTCGTCCATAAAGATGATGGAAGGATTTGCTACGAGCTCCACGGCTATTGTGAGACGCTTGCGTTGCTCAGTGGATAGTCCAGTCACTCCAGGAAGGCCAACTATTGCGTCCCCGAGGCTCTCTAATTCCACCAGCTCCATAACTTCGTCGACGAATTGCTGCAACGAAAACATATCAAGATAGATTCGGCGTAAAGCAGTCGTTCACCATTTTGCTGTCGGCGTCAACGTCTTTAGATAGTCGCAGCCACGCCGAAAATATGAGAGACTCCCGAATGGTCACTTGTGGCGAGTGAATGTCGTTTTGTTCACAGTAGCCTGAAATCCTCGCGAAAGTTTCTTGCTTTTTGGGATAGCCAGAAATTCTGATATCGCCTTCGATGTAGCCGCCAGTCTTTCTTCCCGCCAGGACGTCCATCAGTGTTGTTTTTCCAGCACCACTGACACCCATGAGTGAAGTCAGCACCCCTGGACGGAAAGCTCCAGTCACATTGTTTAACAGCTGAAGCCGCGGCTCCGTAACTCCCTGCTCCTTCATTTCCTGATGTCAAGAGAAACATGTCAAAGAACATTATACCAGAAACCAGATGAACACGTACCGCTGGCATGTCAACAAAGTAGCTTATATCATTGAACGAAATTGACAAAGGTGTGAAAGGTAGAATCATTCCCCGCTTTGGAGCAACTCCCTCTACGGTTGCCAGATTCATGTCTTCTCTCCCCATTGAGATTCTCTGCATCTGAACACCTGAAGGAAAGAAAAACCATTAAACCATCAAGTTGGAAGCTCGCAGATAGCAAGTATACAAACCGCCCAAGTTGTTCGCGTCAGTAGAAGACAGTGAGCGCGGGAAAGATCTCCTGTTTGAACGTTCTCGGGATTTCGCGTACGGATCATATTCAATACCTTGCTGGCTGGCTTGGATCTCTGCCATAGATTCCTCGGAGATAACAGCCTGAGGCTTTCCGAGCGCTGTTCATAAAGACGGTTCTGTTAGCTCCAATTTGCTTCAAATAATGTGGTATACTGACGTTTCAAGAATGTCAAAGCCAGCGTATAGATAACGTTGAAAAGTGTAACAAAACCAACTAAAGCCGCGACACCAATCCAGAACCAATAGCCTCTATACTGAAACGATCTGTCTCGAAGAGCTTTGACACCCAGCGTAAGCGTTGAGTTCACCACGGGCTGTACAAGAAAAAAAAAAAAAAGACGTTGGATTTCCTATAATCTCAAATAACGTCGCGCACCTGTCGCCAGCGAGGCGCTAGCAGCTCGTTGATACTGATTGCACTGTCTGCATATGTTAGAGGAGAAATCCAGTAACCCCATATCCACCACGACGGAATTCTATCTGAAATTTTGTAAGAGAAGCTCGTTGAGGTTAGCTGGAGTTTGTAGCAGCCAAGTACCTTTTGATATAATGAATCCTCCAAGCACGAACACGACAAGTAGCGAAAAGGCTCCTCCGGTGTTCGAGATGATCATAGTCCGGCACAAACCCGCAATGCAGCGGAAAAGTGACGATGCCATTTGATGCACAAGCAGGAGCACTAGAAAGTGCTTGAAAAATCTACGAGATAAAAACTTCATTCACCTGCATGAGAAAAGCTTGTAGAAGACTTACCGTCCGGCCTCGGGTGCGAGCCCCTCGACATAATAAGTCATGGCAGTCCATATGAAGGACTCAATCACTGCAAATGGAAGGCTCAGCGCATAAGTTGGTAGCGTGTAAGCCCATGCCGGATGAAAGAGCAAGTCTCGCTGTTTGAAAAACACGGGAAGGCGAGTGATAGTGATTGAAACCTCAGAGAATCCGTTAAACATGATGGTGATGAGCGAGAAAAATAAGGCCCCCAGGTAAGCATTTGCGTCGTTGAGATTTCTTTGATGCATTCTCGTTCGCAAGAAAACGGTCATGGCAACGAAAGCCATAATAACAATCTATAACAAAGCATAACACCAGATTACAAAAACGAAACCAAAGGAAATTCATACCTGCACGGATTTAAAGACGTAGACGAAAGAATTTCGCTTCACCAGCAACCACTCTTTAGCAAATCCTGCTTTGAAAAGTTCCAGGTTGCTCACAGAGTATCTTTTGAAGACTAGAGCTGCTTTGTGGCTGCTGGACTTGTGGTATGGATGCTTGAGTTCCGCGGTCAACTGCTGTCCAACGTGAAATTGTTTGAATCTTTCAGTGAATTCTTTAACGGAAATGTATTTGTATGGTCGACGACTATCAGCCCAGTATTGCTGCTGGTCTTTGCGAGAAGTTACCTGATCAAACAGCACAGCAAAAAACTCACGGAATAAGTCAAAGCCAGAATAAAGATCAAATTTCGCACTCACCTCCTGCAGAAAGTCCGCAATGCCTTTCCGATCGGGACACCTGAACCCACAGCTCTCGAAAAACTCCATTACGTACTTCCTCGGGCCTTGATACACAATCTGACCCTCTGAAAGGAGAATGATGTCGTCGAAGAGATTGAAAGTTTCGGGCGCTGGTTGGAGGAGTGACATGAACACGGTCCCTTCGATAACGTGAGCAAATTGCTGGAGGCATTTCACGATCTGGAAGGTGGTGGAGCTGTCAAGGCCTGTTGAGATCTCGTCCATGAACAAAGTCTTCGTAGGCCCAACTATCATTTCTCCTGGCAAAGGTAAAGATAAACAAATTATAAACAAATTCTAGAGCGGCTTTTCTTTCTCGCATACCTGTGGTGACTCGCTTTTTCTGCCCTCCGGAAATTCCACGTCTCATGTCGTCTCCCACCATCGTGTCCGCACAGACATCAAGGCCAAGAATCTGCAAATATGGAAAAGAGCGATTAGCTCATCCAAAGATAACGAATTTTCTTGTCCAGAAAGCTAACCTTCAAAGTGTAGTCAGTGATAATGGCATTCTGGACACCTTCAGTGGCTGTGGCCTACAGCAAAAAGATAAGAAGAAAAGTCCGCTTCAGCAAAAAAAAAAAAAACAGTGAAGAAAACGCCGTTCCGACTTTACCTTCATGTAGAGATCAATGTGGGCATCGGGAAGAATCCCCGCTTCCTTTTCTCGTCTCGCAAGCTCCGCTAATAACTCTAGGAACGCAGAACAAGCTCTAGGATTAGACACATTCCTAAAAGGCACCAAAAGTTTTAGCTCACCATATCGAGTACCGACTCCTTGACATCTTGCTGAGAACTCCAGTGTCTCGCGAACAGTCATCTCACCGACGTGTAGATCGTGCTGGCTGATATAAGCCGACGTCTTTTGCGGAACGAACTCGTCAAGCTCGTAGCCATTGTATGTGACTTGTCCCCTCGTCTGCACGAGAGCATCAGAAAAAAAGCCAAGAGCCCTAGGAGGAAATGTCATCTACCTTGAGAGTTGGGTCCAATTTTCCAGCCAATGCAAGTAGCAATGTCGTTTTTCCTGAGCTCGGAGGACCAAGCAAGAGCGTCATTCTGCCAGCGCCAATGAGATGTTTCAGTCCCTGTTTTCTCTGCTTTTGGAATCGTACCTTCCAGGCTTGATGATTCCACTCACATCCTTGAGGATTGTAAGAGTGGTGCTTTTTCCAGTAGAGATTCCCACGACACCGAGGAGCATCTGGGCAATCAACGAATCCCCCATGAATCAAAACTCAAGTGAAAAAACTATGAATCTTTGGTACCTCTGCCGTGTTCCTGACAGCGTTCCAGAGTGTGGGCAGCGCTCTTCCTCCCACCATGCATTCCGCATTGATCGTCACATTCTCGAAGCGCACCTCGGTGGTGGGCAGCTCGATCCCAACTCTGCCATCCAAGAAGATCGCCTTGAGCAATCAAGCGCAAGAGTGAGTAGCCGGATGGCTCTAACCTGTCGATTCGATTGCGGAGCTTCTTGAGGAACTTCTCATTGTCTTCCTCGGTGGCCTGGATGAGATTGTCCATGAGGATCTGGCGCTCCAGCGGCCCCAAATTCCGCACATCGATTTCCTGGTGGACAACCCGGCTGCCCTGGAGGTTCTTGAGGATCGTGGTGCGCAGCCGATCATACGTGGGCAGCTTCTCCAGCGCGGCCCACCGGAGAGCCTCCTCATCGTCGTTCGCCGCGGGAACCGTCCGCGAGGTGGAAGATCGGCTGAAGACGCTCTCGGGGCCGATCCCCCAGTTGCGGACGCTGCTACTGCGCAGGCTGCCGCGCCGGCTGTTGTTCCCCCACGCATCGATGTGCTCGAACTTACCAGAGTGCGCCATGGTATTTCAAGAACGACGATTTCCCCAGATCGCTGCCCTGGCGCTCAAATCCCTGTCATTCTCGCGTAAATCTGTGGCACCCCGGGGGAACTGCGCTCGTTCTCGAAGAACGGCGATCGAAATACCTCGCGATTTCGCGAAATATTTCCCACCTGATCAGGCTCCAAGAATCCAAGTGCTGTGGCGCAAGATCTCTCCTGCTCGCCCGCCGCGCCTGGCCGCGATCGATCGATCAGGGAGGAGATGCCGCTCAATGGAGGAGGGAGGGAGGAGGAGAGGATAAGAGATGCCCGCCGCTCTCTCTTGAGCGCGTCTCTAGGGAAGACACGGCCTGCCCGCTTGCAAGCCTTTTTAAAATTTACAAGCCGAGCCCCTCGGTCAACCACACGTGTTCCAAACACGTCACTCAATTATGGCCGCGTGGCAGTGCCATGCAGGAATTGCGGTGATCTGGACAGTGACGTGGACTCCAGGGAATTCCACTAGAGAAACGATTCTTATCAAACTAAAACAACAATGGCTGCGCACTCACAGTTCTCACCAACTCCGGAGTATATTCCATGCTGCAGGCTGTTGACTGTCTTTGACATCTAGTCAATTTAACTGTTGACATACTGTAGCGTGGCTGGCCGATACAATCCAAGCCCGACTCGAACAAACAGTCCACCATAATTGACCCGGCGCTGTCGCTTGGTCAAGGGTCAATCCTCTCAGGCGTAAATGCCAAAATATATTCCTTTCCCAAAATATATTCTCCTGATAATATGAACATTCTATGTACGTACGTACGAACGACCAAAGACAAGGATGCCTCAACGCAAGGAACGTTGTCTTCGCCTAAATAAATCACGTGGATGCTGAATCTCCTTTTGCAAAACGTCGTTACCACATACTCAATGCTTTTGACGATAAGAATCCCTGTCACGTAGCGCTGCTGTTCCCACTTACGCGAAAAAGGAAGGGTAGGCAGCGAAGATCCACCGCCGTTTTTTTGACTCGGCGTCCCTCTTTATTCTCTTTCCCTGGCGGCCGACCACTTCGTGTTTCCACCACTCTTCGCGTTTTGATCGTGTCCACGTTATGTCTTTCAGTTTTCTCGGTCTCGTCGAAGTTTGAGGTGTAAACGTTATTTATGTCGTGACTGACTAGCCAGCCTTTGGCATCCTTTGCGACGTAAACTTCCTCTCAGAGGCCTGTAGCAAAAAGCACATTTCATCTCACATCAAACTTGACTTTTGACTTGCCTCGAGGTAGCTGTCCTGATTCCTGTCGAACATGCGGAATAAAAAATCGATCTCCCTCTGTGCATGCCAGCGAAGAATTATGTAAGCCCAAACGTTCCCAAGGATATGATAATTCCCAAACCTGTCGCATGAAACGCGAGGAAGGATGGCTCCGGAGAATTTGATGGAATTGCTCTTTGGAAATGTTGCGGCCTCCAGCTAAAAGAACAAAGTCCCACTGTTACTAGTGTGTGCTAATTAGCGCAGAAGTTGATACCTTTTAGCTCAATGTCCCTGAAAATCTCTTCAATGTCATCGATATGCTGAAGTAGATCAAGGAGTGCCGCATGTTCCTGTCACCATCGATTTGAGCTTCGTTATTTTACCAAGAGTTAAGTATAACCTGTGCACGGCGTCTGTCCACAAAACGGGGCCAAACTCGGAATCCAACTATCAGCGCTACGCCAAGGATTGTTGCTGTACACAGGGTTGTTCCTGCTATCAGCCGGAACATATTGAGATCGTTCTCCCAGCCACTGGAATAGAATAGAGAGAATTAAAACTTTGCATTCCGAAAGAGAAGACTTATATGCTGCGTACTTGGTGACGTTCATGCCAAAAAAGCTGCCAGGTAAAGTTGCCCTGCAAAACCAGCACCATGTATCAACGACCAGGAGCTTGTAAAGAAAAAAATAATGCCATAATCTTACAGACTGAATGACAGTGTGGCAAAACTAATGTATAGGTTGGTAGTGATAATACGGTTTCGTGTAGCATCCAGGCCTAGCTCCCAAACCTGCCATAGCGACAAAGACAAAACTTAAAAAACGGAGAAAACCCAGTCAAAGACCTCTTGAGCCGCATCCATTTCCTTCCTCAACTCTTCCAGAACAGCGCCAGCGTCGTCAATCTAGCCTCAAAAACAGTACTTAGGTACGAATGTATAATCTACCACAGACTCACCTCTCTCAAGTATGTAAATAGCATGTCTGCAGCTAGTTGGCGAACCTTGGCCTTTGCTTTCTCAGAGTCAACATCTACACAACTGCCGGAAACGAAAAAATCAGAAGAAAGCAGCATCTACGAAAAAGAAGACATAAATGACCTTGCAGGGACTTCCAGGCAGAATGACCGAAGCATTTCCTCACTGTTCAAAACCTGGAAAATTTCCAAAAACGCGCATAATAACGTTTCTAGGACTTTTCAAAGAAGAGAATAACCTGGTCCATAACTTCGTGCGTATCCCTGATGTCATGTTCCACTTCTGTCAGCGATCGTTTCAGTGGCAGCAGTCTCTGCAACCTGTATACAAACGCATTAAAACGAGAAAACGAAAGAAAATAACATAATGTCGCGGCTGTACATACCGACCAGTACTAACGCCAAGGGTTAAATCCTCGAGTGCCCGTTCCGCAACCACTGTCAATCTTGTAAAAGTGGTCAAGTAGAAAGCTGCGAGCCTGGCCTTTACCTTTCAACTTTCTGGTTGAAAAAGTTGCTAGTTTCTTCAAACAGGCATTCCATCATCCGGAGGTGGAAAGGCATTTGGTCCATATGAGAGTTTGGCGTATCCCTCGCATACCTAGCCAGTGAAGTTGCAAAAGCATCCCTAGCTGCTCTGAGAACGTTTGCATTAGCAAAAACAGTGTGAAATTCTCAAAAAAAAAAACTGTCCCTAACTTGTGTGTCACGTCTGTTTCCACTTTCTTAGTTGGAACGACAGCTTCTCGCGGCTGGCGTCTACAAAACAAAACAAAAGTATGTAAACACAAGAACAAACATCAACCGAATATGAAGGAAAAAAAGGATACAAAACCTCCTGTGTGCATCAAAGAGCAGACAAAAATCTCTGGAAACAAGGGCTCTGACGTTTTCCATCCTCACCAACACCTACACAAAGTTTTATATCACAAAAGAAAAACAAACACTCATAGCTTTACCTTGTCATACCGCAATGCGAGCGTCGCTCGACTTGGAATGAAAGAATTCCCAGTGATCACATCCATATCTCTCGGATGGATCCCCTAAAGCAGCAACATTTTTAATTCTCTCCATTGAAAAAACTATATCTAAACTCACCAATTCAGTCAAGCTGAGCGATAACGTCTCCCAAACCCCATTCTTGTCGATCTTGATGACGCTGTACCTCTTGCCGCCGTCATCGCTATTGAATCGACTGCCGGCAGCTCCATTGATCCAACGACACGAGATTGCGAGAAGACCGGCTCCAGAGCCGATCGATCCAGCTCTCTTCCTCACGCCAATGCCAATGATCCCGCTGCATACCTTAAACATTAAAACCTAGCCCTAAAATCTCTCCACAAAGGCGCGGCAAATATCTTTACAAAAAAATCTTATACAAAGAACGATCTCCTTGATTCTTTTCGTGTGTGTATAGACAATTGTGATGATCGATCGAATGACCTGTGTCACGCAAAGAAAACCAAGAACATCAGAGCGATGAAGGAAAAAAGCCTTGTACCTGAGATGATTTTCATGCGTGGAGCCAAAACTTTCGCGCGAGTCGCAAAGAATGGAAAATCTGGAGAGCTGTTCTTTAGATCTTTCGTTGAGCGTTCCTCGTAGAGCTGTTCATCTCCCTGTGAAGCTGACGAGCAAAATCCTCGTCGATCTCTTCGGCCGTCTTGGCTTTCTCTGCTGGAGGAGGAAGAACTGGAGCTTCCATTCCTTCCTCTGGATCATCCGGACACTCGCCCAAGCTCTTGGCGATCAAAAGATCCTCTTTTGCCGCGAGCGCTGCGTTGTTGAGAGCGTTCCTAGCGAGCATGGCGGCCTTGACGGCAGCCGCGGCCTTGGCAGCGGCAGCAGCCTTGGCAGTGACGGCCGCCTTGAGAGCCTGCGCCGCCGCGTCTCGAGCAGCGGCAAGAACATCCTCGGGACTTCTTTCGAGCTCCTGTTCTTGGTGCCCCTGGATCATATCAATCGCCCGCGGCTTCTTTACACTCGGCTGTTCTTCACCCCTCCTACACTCGCAGCAAACGAAAGTTGGCGGCTCCAGCGGCAGCGATGCTGGATTCGCCTCCGTCTCACAGCGGGCATGCACGGATCTTTGGCAGCGGCAGCAAGCGATCCAATCTTCTCCACTGCCGGCATTTTCTTGGAAGACCACCAAGCAGTGGGGGCATCCCATGTAGAGAAGCGTGCACGCTCTACACAAGAACTGATAAATCCCTCCATCTTTCACTCGCCGCCAGGCACCGCTGCCTTCCCTGTCTCCACACCTCACGCAAGCCTCGAGGGGATCCTTCTTCTCCATGGCTTCCAGGAGCGCGCCCTCCGAGAGAAAAACCACGAGACCATCGGGGCAAATCCGGGAGGGCGAGAGAGGAGGAGGAGGAGGAAGAATTCCAGTCGCAATTGGAGCGCTGCTGTTGCTAATCCCGTTGTTCTTCAGGCCGATGAGATGGCGCTTGCGCGGGGGCAGCGATGCCGGCGCATTCTTCGTACCTTCGATCTCCACGTCGGTAGCGAGGAGCGAGGCCGCGGGCAATGCGTCGTCGCCCTCGCTCCCCTCGTCCATCGTTTCACTTCTTTATAAACCCTAAATTTCTTCTTATTTTAGGGCTGGAGGCAATGGATCGAGAAGGCGATGGCGATGGCGGCAGCGCCAGCGGTAACGGCGCGGGGAAGAAGAAGCTGCTGATTCTCGACGTCAATGGCCTGCTCGTCGACACCTATTTCATGAAGGAGGATCGGCCTCCGCGATTGCACGATGCCGTGGTGGGGCGATTTCTTGGTGAGTCTTCAAACCCTTGGTTGTTTCTTGTGTGACAATGCGCTCCCAGTGTATAGGAGGCCCCATTGCGAGGAGTTTCTCCAGTTCTGCTTGCGGCATTTTCACGTCGCTGTTTGGTCCTCTGCCAAAGAGTAAGCTCTAAACTTAACACACCATTCTTTCTTAGTTCTAAGAATTTCTTTTTAGGCACAATGTAATGGGAATGGTAAACTTGATACTAGGGGAATCCAAAAAATTGCTTGCGTTCATCTGGGTATGGTTCGCTTCGTCGGGAAGTTCACGATCATTTAGTCTTTTTCGCTCTCTTTTTCTTGTAACAGAGCCAGAAATGGTGCACTGATACTGGAGTGAAATGTCTCGACAACAAGTTCAAGCCCCTCTTCCTCAAGGAGCTGAAAAAAGTGTGGGAGAGTTCTAAGCCGGACGTTCCCTGGGACAAAGGCGAGTATGGACCCTGGAACACGCTTCTCATCGATGACAGTCCACACAAAGTACTGCGAAACCCCGTAAGTTTCTCTTTCTTTTCATACTTTCATGCAGTAATGGACTGTGGCCATCCAGGACCATACAGCGGTGCTGGCTCTTCCATACTCGGCTATGGAAACCACCACCTCCGCAGACGATTTTCTACCCGCACTCCAGGGATACTTGACGAAGCTGATTGATGTCCCAGACGTTCGAGACTTCGTGCGAAGCAACCCGATAGGACAGCCCTTGATCACGGAGGATAGCCGCGATTGGGATTTCTACTCGAAGCTCAAGCTCTCTGTGAAGTCGAGCAAAGGCGAGAGGTGGCTACATATAGAATCCGGATCAAGCTCGAGAGGGAAGGGCATAGTCGAAAGCACAGATCCTGAAATGGATACAAGGCAGCCATCGAGTTCGAGGAGACATGGAACCATAAAGCGCTATGACCAGCCGACGGGTTATTTGAAAAGGTATGGGACGAACACTGAGATGGATCACTTGACAAGGTATGAGACGAGAATGTACGACACTGATGAATCGAGAAAGTCCAGGAGTATGAGACGGATCATCATCAGCAGCACTCGAGAAAACGCAAGAGGAGCTTTCAGCAGCGTGAGACGGGGAAGTATGAGACGAGAAAACACAAGCGGATCAAACGGAAACACTGCCGGGAGCCCGAGAGGGGACGTCGAGATGCAGGCTACCAAAGTGACCGGAGAGAACGACATCACTCGAGTGAGCGTCATCGCTACAAACGGCGTAGGCATTGAAGCAGAGTAAACAAGTACAACGTTGGCCCCAGAGAAAAGCTTTGGAGCACGCAGTGCAAGGCTGTTTTTGTAAAACGAAACTGACCCGAGAAACTGATGAGGACTTGCTGTCTTATTACCACCTTTGATTTCTCGGTTCCTTCATCAAGCCTTCAAGCTTGCTTCCTTAGCTCCTCCAGGTCAAGCTCCACGGCAACAACAGGAGTATCTTTGTGCATTGCTTCGGAGCTATACAAGAAACTTGAGAGTGACAAAAGAAAAGAGACATGGAACCATCTACCTGTTAAGAACGTGACCGTGATCAACAGCGGAGTGGCTGCAGTAGATTGCTCGGCCGAAGATGTTCTTCATTGGCAATGGTCCGAAAGTTCTACTATCGTAAGCTTCCTGGTCACCATTGTAGAGTTCTCAGCTAGTAACAACAAAAGAGAGAGAGCTACCTTTGAACTCAAGGCCTCGTTATCAGAGACCACCCAGCACTGCCCTTCCTCGAGAGTGAAAGGCTCGTCCTTCTCATCGGTAGAAACAAGCTCATCGCCCTCCAGGGCCGCCACTCTGCGCACAAGAGCTTGCGCGGTATCCTGAGGATCTTTAAAGACGACAACGTCACCGATGAAGATACACCTTTGATCAAAATCCAGGAAGAGTGAGTAAGAAAGTAGCAAGAAAATAGAGCTAGTCTTGCCTAGAAGATGGAAGAGGTACCGATCTCACGAGTAGAGTCTCTCCCTGGCTCTTGAAGGTGGGAGCCATTTGCTCGCCTTTGACATGGTGGAAGAATGTGAGCCTGCCCTGAAACAAGTTCTTCCAGATTCTATCGCCTAGTTGCTTTTCATTGATTTGTCCCTTGTCATAGCTCTGCGAGAACACTAAGCCATTGCCGGGCGCGATCGGCGAGGATTTTGATGTTCCATACCTTGGCAGCAGTGGCGATCGAATGCGTAAGCTTCACAACAAAATACCGGATCCACATCGCATGGAGGCGAGCGCGCGCCTTAAACCCCTCCCGCCATAGCCTCGTGCACTGAAAAGAGATTTTGCCCTAGCCCTAAAGCGCAAATCTCACCGTTAAAATCAACCACCGAGATCGCTCCACAAAGCCAAAATTCCAGAAACACGTGTCATGCCCAGGTGCCTTACAGTTCGTTGGGTTTTTTTCCATGCAAGAAGCCAGCAAATGCGAGCGCGGTGGTGTGAAGAACCCTAATCGCGCCCTCGCCTCGGCTTCTTCAATCTCTCCCCTCTCTCGGTCCATCGAGTGATTGATCATGGGCGCCGGAGGCAAGGGATCGGGGCCGGTGCTCTACAGCGATGTCGGCAAGCAGGCGCGCGATCTCCTCCAAAAGGGTTTCAGCGCGGGGCATATGTTGATGCTCTCGTATCTTGCCCCCAACGGCGCCACCGTTTCCACCACTGCTACCATGTTGGAGGGCACCGTGGTGGGAGTCATGAGTTGCTCCTTGAAGAGGGACGCGATGCAAGCCGAGGTCTCCGCCAGTAACTTATGCCAGGTTCGCTCTCCAATCTTTCTTTCTGCCCCATTGCTTCGCTAGAACTCTTTTGATAGCCCATCGTTATTTCACCTCTTTTTTCTTCTTTCTTTTGTTCTATCTTCAATGCCTTGCTAACTTTTGAGTTTCCAGATTACTGCCAACACCACGTATGACGAAGTTATTCCAGGCCTCAAGGTTTCTTTGTCCACGGCTGTTCCAGGAGCTGTCAACTCCGGGAAGACTCACTTGCAATACTTCCACGATCGAGCAGCCTTGACGGCCACCTTGAATGGCTTCAAGGCCAAGCCCTCCATGGAAGTCTCTGCCAACTTTGGAACTTCCAAGCTCACGCTTGGAGGCTCGCTGGTTTACGACCCGCAAAGCAACCGACTCATAGGCTCAACAGCAGGTAACAGACCTTCGTTTCTCTTTCGCTCGTGTTCTTCTTCAAGCTTTGCGCAAACTTTTATCTCGCAGGGCTAGGATTCTTTTCCCCGGACGTGTCCGGAGCGCTTCTCGTCGATCCAAAGAACGGCAAATCGGTGGATTTGTACTGCTCCCAAGCGTTGAACAAGAAGGTGGCGTGGGCCTGCCATCTCAACCACAAGCTCGACCGAAAGTTGACAACGGCGATGCTTGGAACCTCGTACAAGATGGACAACTTCACCACCATCAAGTCCCGGGTCGACAACCACGGGATGCTGGCGGCGTTGCTCCAGTACGAGCCCAATCCCTTGATCAACTTTGGGATGTACGCGGAGGTCAACACCAAGGCCCTCAAAACCACCAGACCAAAGGTTGGATTCACGCTCACTGTTTTAGCAGCAGCAATATGATCACCGAGACCACGGAGACGGAGATGAGACGGAGAGAACTCTTTTTTTCTTTAGTTTTTTTCCGCGGATAGCCGAGGTGAGTGTTTCTCCCTTCGTTTTCTCCTTCGGCATGAATAATGTGATCGTTTTTCTTGCTGGAGTCGCGGGCTGTTTAGTTTAGTAATCAGTCATTCACGGTCATCTTACCAGTTTTCGGCTTGATTTTTGTTCTTCAATGGACTGGGCAGCCATCGACCTTGATCCCAGGAGCTGTCGGACAAGTTGCCAGAGGACACTGATCGTCGAGCTGCACATTCCCCCACCAAGTTACTTTCTTGCTGTTGATGCTGAGGAATGCGTAGATGAAAACTCCCATGAAAGCCACGCCTGCGTCGAGAGCTGCCGAGAGGATGTAGTTGTGCCGTTGCCACCATTTCTTCCTCGTTCTAAAGATGAAGTAATTGAAGAAGAAGCCCACCACGAACCAGCTCCAGTAATTCACGGCCGTCGCGTAAGGCATGGCGCCGGCGCCGCCGATGAGAACCGGAACCACGACGTACTTGAGCCACTCCACAGTGGGGAAGACTTTGGTGAGCACCCAGTGGATTACTGGAGCTATGGCGCCCAAGAGGAAGCACCAGTTGAGGGACTTGTAGAGACCAAGGTCGCCAAAAATTCGCTGTGGACCAATGAGCCCCCAGATCACTGAAGCGTCGTAGAAGATGGTGTCGCCCGGGCAAGTCCACACGTTCCCTTTGATGTGGCGATTGCAAATGTTTGGGACGGTCTCCAGCAGCCACCATGCCGTGCCCAGATACGTCATGGATGCCAGCATTGTTCCAACGATCTGGAAGAACAAGTAAAATCTCGTTTTGTAAAAGGATAGGAGCTTTTTACCTGTGCTATGAACATGGACCTTGGCGGGATTTTCATGTAGTGCCCGATCTTAAAGTCACTGAGCAAGGACGTCGTCTGGTAGACCGTGATCGTGCCATAGGTCTTGAAGAGCACGTTAGCGATCGGCTTGTTAGGATAAATGTAGCCGATGAGGTACTCGGAGATGACATTGAGGCCCGGAGACTGGAAATTTGGGAAATTTACCTCAGCAGCCTAGAATCGGGGGAAGGATTTCACGAACCTGATTCGTGGTGGCCAGCAGGACACCGATTGGAAGGCAGAAGAGGAACGACAATCCGACCGAAAAGAGGACCCCCCACCATCTGAGCTGCAAATCGTTGTTGTAGACCTCGCACGCAATCACCGACAGCGCGATCGTCATCACCAGCAGCGAGCCATACCACCACGTCGGCACTCGCTTGTACTTCCTCATCAGCTTGGCATGGATGTCGGGGCGCGCGTCCTCCATCGCCCGGAGCGTCCTCCATATCGTCCTGCGCCAAAATTTAGGGCTCTTAGGAAAAGCGCGGGAATTTTAAGCGGGAAAATTTTTAAACGAAGCTTACTTTCCGTGGAAGAGGATGGCGTGCGTCACGCTGGCCGTCAGCATGGCAAAGCTAATGCCGTACGTGAAGACAAAGATGGTGCTGATGTGGAGGCGACTGTAGTTGTTATATGCCACCGTGTCCAGATCAAAGGCCGAGGTGGTGATACGTGTCCGATTGTACACCTGGCCATCCGAGTCAAACAGCTGGAGGGAGAGAAGGGGGAATTTCTTTGCCCCATACATGTCATAGCCCCAATATGCCACGGGGGCAAGAACATAGAGGGTGACGATAAATCCCACCATAGTGTTGGCGATAGCAAAAAATGGGGATGCCAGCGGACTGCCCAGGAATCCCGCTACTGTTGACCAGTCAAGACCAATGGCTCCAAGTCCATAGCCCGCCAACCCAGACCCTAATTGGTGAGCAATAATGGACTTTGGCCATATGTAGCATACCCATGAAATAGAGGATAGCGTTGCAAAGAGATAACCCGGGAGCAAATAGTATGCAAAGCTGGTGAGGAAGACAATGGTAAAGAAATTGATCCTGGTCAGACCACCTTTGACCCTCTTTTCTGGCTCGTGTAAAGTCCTGGATGAAAAATGTGTTACTATTGAACTTCATGCTTGAAAAATTCAAGGTACTTGCCTGAATAATGAGACCTGGACGAGATTTTGGGGCCACCACATGTGTGCGGGCTCGACAAGGAACTTTCTGAACATTCCGGCAAAACCGAAGCCCACAATCTTATCAAAAAAGCATCGCACGTGAACAAACAAATCAAGAATCAATGAATGCCTTCAAAAGGGAAGAGCTTACTTGCGTGGTGAGTGTCACCAGCAGTCCAACAAAGAATGGAAAATCCTGCCTGTTGTAAAACGCCTTGAGACTTGTGACAATATGAACTGCATACGCTCCCCCCGCCCCAGCATTTGCAAAGATGGTGATTAACACATGCTCCTTGACGTTGAAAGGCCCGGGATTCAGAGAAAAGCCCCAATTCAAGCCTGGGACCAGGATCTTTTGAGTGGGAAGCGTGGCAGCCATGAGCTTCCCCAGTGGAAGAGTGACAATTTGTGCTGTCAAGCCACTCACGCTCAGCTGCTGCCTCCTGTAAGAGAAGAACATGTTGATGAAAGAGAGGATCAAGCAGGAGAGGATCCCAAGAGTCCAGGTCCTGAAAGTTAGAGCCGGAAGTGAAGTGTCATCGGTGGTGGGAACTGTGAGGCGGACTTCCTCGATGGGAGATTGATCATCATCTTGAGAGCATTCTTGTACATCCATGACCAGTTTTGCAGTTACTGAAAAGCAAACCAAAATTGTATATGATTTAGAAGCTGTTAAGCTGGATCTGGAGGCAGATCTTTACCTGGAATTGGAGCCTCCTTCTTGGCATCAGTGGTTTCAAAGCTTCCATCTGCAGATCTCAAAGCTAGAGTGAAGTACATAAATGTAAGGGAATTTACTTGGAAGCTCTTGATCTTCTTGCTGCTGCTCCATGGCTTTCCAAATTGAGAGATAATTCCAGCACCCTAGGCTAGTCCAAAAGAATTGGCAGAGATGTGAGGATATAAAGTTAGTGGAAATTCCAAAGGCAACCAAACGATAAGGGATATTCCCTGACATCTTTCGCAAAAAAAGATTCTTTAGGCTGTTTGATGATTTGGAAAGAGCGACAGAACCTTCGGGGCACGAACGAGACAAGTATGAAGAATCCAAAAAAACCGGTTGACCCATGTTGACAGATGTGCTGGCTAGAGCTGACGAAAGTTGACTATAGTTGACTAGAGGCTTTAACTTAGCGCTAATCTGAATTGCGGAGCTAGGGCACGAAACAGGGGCATGGAGGAGAGGTCGACAGCGGCAGCGGCAGCGCCATCGCCAGGACCGTCATTTCAGGTATCGAAATTTTCTTCCTCTGGGAATCACGGCAAGCGGCGGGACAGGCTGTCGAGATGGGAGGAATCCAGCAAGAAGTCGAAGGGCGGTGGCGACAGCCCGGGATTCCAGCGCGGCCGGGATGGCAAATTCCGAGGCCACCAGAATCGCCGCCACCAACACCAGCATCATCACCATCAGCAGCAACAGCAGCAGCAGCAGCAGCAGCAGCAACACGACGCTAGAATCGATGGCGGCGATGGTGGCGGCGGTGGCGATTTTAACCACCTGGGAATGCTGCTCGTCAACCAGATCGTGATGCTCGACGGCAGCGTCCGGAGCTACTACTCGCTGCCTCCCGACTACCCAATGCCCCCGGATTTCCGCCTCGTCTTTCCTCCGGAGTTCGCGCCAGTAGAGGGCGTCTGGACCGCCGCCGCCGCCGCCCCCGCCGCTCCCCCTTACCATCCGGGAGTGATCGTGGATGCTGGATACCAGCCCCAGTTTGTAGCTCCTCCCAGGCACGACGAGATCAATGGGGGCAGCTCACAACAACACCAGCGCAAGAGAAGTCAGTGGAACAGGCACAAGAACTAAGTCTGGCGTGTTCATATCAACTTAGAGCTCTTTCTTTGATTCTTAAACGTATAAGTATGGCACACTTCCTTGTATGCTGGGCAGCCATCGACAACTATGCCAGGCTGGTTGGGCACTTGGCCAGAGGACAGTGATCACCTTATGCGGGTACCAAGCCCACGAATGCGGAGCCGGCGAGGACAAGGCATAGTTGTAGCGCTTCTACCATGCCTTGCGGTACCTAAGATCCTGGCCAAAGATCCACCTGGGACCGACGAGACCTCAGATCACTGACGAGTCGAACAGGAGGCGATTGTTGGGACACGTCCAGGTAGTGCCGGAATGTTAGCCAGGACATATAAAGCTATACACCAGATCAGGGAACATTGGAATGTTAGCCAGGACATATCAAGCTATACACCATATCACAAATCAGTGAATTGTGTTTTTTACTTTTTTTTAATTTTTAATGGATAGGATTTGTTTTACTAACTATGAGGCTTAATTTGGTTCTGTTTAAAATCTTATTATTTAAGCATTAATCACATCTTTATGCCATCATTTGGTTTTTAAGTTATGCATTTCGTTGTGTTTGTACTACGAATTAATATTCCTGACATAAACCTTCAGTGGAGCTTAAACAATTAATAATTGATAGTAATTATCTCACTGTTTGTCAACAAGCAGCCTGAATCAGGGGAAAACAATCTTAGTTACCATCTAAAATTTAATATTATTATTGTAAAACTGTATTCTAGCATAATATAATATTGATCATAGATCTGCAAACCAACTAAGCTACACTACTATGAGAAGCTCAATAATTTCACCTTGATTGAGAAGTTTCTTATTTTTGCCAATTCAGAATTACCGCATCAGAATTATTAGACTTTTTTTTTTAAGGCTTTCATAGCAAATTTGGATTATTTTTATCGAGCCTATCGTATCAGAATTTTTAAGGAGTTTAGATAATTTTTCAAATTATTCTTTTTCAAAATTTAATTGTAGAGCTTTGTGTTGTTAAACTTTTTGGCTAGGCATTTTTTGGATAGGCCATTGTTTCAAGAAATCTAGACTTTAATTGGCATTTACCTCTTATTTCTGTTGAAATTTTTGGACCTTTATTTATTTCTATTCTTTTTTTGCTCAAAAATTGATAACAATTTTTAATACATTTTAAAATAGTTTTTTAATAAAAATATAAGGAAGAAATCTATTTATAATTTTGTTAACAGTAGTGCTTGTGAAGCTATACTAAAAGAGTGTAGAGATTGCTTGTCACCAAAAAGCCCTTCATGGAGGTGCAAGCTTAGAGCTCTATACATGAACAAATTGCTAGATTTAAAGATCATAAACTTTAATCCAACACTTCTTCATTTTTGTATGGCTAGTAGTAATTGTTGAATAAAACTGAGAGAATAGACTTACCTACAGGAGTTTGAGACTGTTACAACTCCTATGAAATATGTGTATTATAAATTACAAAGCCAATTAAATTAATATGCCTTACCAATTATATATTGAATTAAACAAAACAAAACAAAACAAGGACAAAAGATGCTTAAACGAGATGGAAACAACAGTGCGCACAAAGCATTGAAGATTAAGAGGCTGACAGCAGCAGTAAAAGAGATGTCTAAGATGCCACTTCGATTTTCAGTCTTACATTTTCTCATCCCTCAGTCTCATGCCTCAAGATAGATATATAGAGATTTGCTGGACATGTTAGATCCAGTGCTAATTTTGGTGTCATTGTCTGGTGTGTTCTTGGCCATCTTGGTATGGAGGTTGACCTAGAAGAAATACGCCACCCTTTGTCGGAGAGATGCTACATTTGCTCCATTCCAAGCCGTGGGAAGTATGGCCCGGTTTTCAAAACACATTTGTTTGGCTTGCCCACGGTAATGGTGACTTCCACTGATGGATTGAAGCTCATTTTCACCAATCAGAGCAAGATCGTGCATGGCTCCTGGCCCAGCTCCGTCAAGAAGCTCGTCGGGGAGCGATCTCTCTTCTTCAGGCCGTTCCGTCACATCCTCATTGCGCTCCTGGGTCCCGAGGCGCTCCAGCGGTACGTGGGACGAATCGCCATGATCCAGAAGCACGTCGAGGAGAGCTGGATCGCGGGTGGCGAGATCAAAGCGTACCACTCCGTCAAGGAGGCGCTCTATGCCGTCATCTATGATCTCTTCCTGAGCCTGACCGACGAGAAGGAGCAGCAGGAGCTCCTGGATCCCTTCCGCGTCGTCTTGCACGCTCTCATCGAGCTCCCGCTCGATTTCCCCGCAACCGCGTTCTCCAAGGGCATGGCTGGCCGCCAGGAGATCATGACGAAGCTGGACCGGATGATGGAGCAGCGGCGACTGGATTTGCAGAGCGGGAAGGCATCCTCCCGTCTGAGCAGCAAGATCTCCTGTCGGTGCTGCTGGTCAAGATGGGCGACGCATGACCGACGAGGCGATCAAGCAAAACATCTTGATGCTGGTTATTGGAACCCATGACAGCTCAATACATCACGGAGAATCCATCCTGCTAAGCCGGGCTCCTCCGGCTCCCTTCCTTCAGCTTCGCCAATAGTAGGGTACAGCTCCAGAAAGGTTGACTCTTTAAAGCTCCTTGTCGACTAACACACTCTCTCTCTCCCTCTTTGTGGAGCACTTGGATATTGCTGCTTCCAAGAAGGCTGGAGAGCCACTTTTGATTGCTAATGTCCAATGCATGAAGTATACATGGAGAGTGGTCCAAGAAGGCATGCGCTTCATGCCACCCACCATTGGAGTTTTTCGCCAGGCCATCATGGACTTCGAAATGGGTGGCCACACAGTTCCACAGGGATGGCAGATTCGTTTTTTTTTTTCTCTCTTCAAGATCTTTAGCTTTGTTGAGATATACACTCTTTATAACATGATCTATAATGCCATTTTATTGATCTAGGTATAACCTAAAGGTGTATCTTTTGATTATGTATATATAACTATAATATTATATATAATTATCTTTTGAGTTATCTTTGTCCATTGTAACTCTGATCTCTCACTGTCCTTGGCTGAAGCTCCCATCGTCTCAGCCTCAATCAAGCCTCCTCGGCCAGTGCCCTAACGGCTCTCTCCCTCTGCTATGGAGCCATCTCACAGCCCAGCAGCTAGCATCACCTCTGCCTGCTTGCAGCAGTCCAACACTCCATTCTTTTGCATTCTGCGTCGTGCCTTTACACCCAACACTCACCTCTGGCCAGTGCCCGGCACCTCTGTCGGCGCCTCTGCCTCGCACGCCCTAGCGCCTTGCTCAGCGCCTCTGATCGCAGTCTCTGCTTGCCCAGCCCTCTCTCAGTGCCTCTGCCAGTGCACAGTGCCATCGTGCCTTGCTCAGCACCCTAGCGCAGTCTCTGCTCGGTGCCAGTGCCTTAGGCCGCTCTCTCACACCAGCGCCTCACTCAGCGCTCCAGTACCGCTTGGTACCTCAAGCCAGCCCTCTCTCAGCGCCTCTGCCAGCGCCAGTCTCTGCTCAATCACACCTTAGCGCCTTGCTCAGCTCGCTAGTGCCGTTATCTTGGTGCTCAGTGCAGTGCAGTGCCAAATCTTGGCACCTCTCAGCCACGTTCGGTGGCTCATCGTCATCCTTGCTGGCCTCTTCCTCGGCCAGCGCCATCGCCCCAGGATCTTGAGCCCTCAAGGCTCCTATACCATGAAAGAGATATGTGGAAGTTACGATGGACAAAGATGACCTGAAGGATAATTATATATAATATCATATTTATATATACATGATCAAAAGACACACCTTTAACTTATACTTGGATGAATTAAGTGGCATTATTACCACTTAGAATCATGTTATAGAGAGTGTATATCTCAATAGCTTCTTCTTCTTCTTACTCCTGATCCCTGCTGAAACCATGTCAAAACAACTGTTTGAACCAGAGCAACAAGAAGGAAAAGTTCTTCCCCGAGGCTGAGAGCTTCAAGCCAGACAGGTTCCTTGGCACGGGCCCGGTCCTTACTCGTACATCTCATTCGGTGGTGGGACGCGCATGTGCCCTGGTTACGAGCTTGCCAAGGTCCAAGAATGCGTGTTTTTGTACCACATTGTCACCCGGTTCAAGTGGAGCTCGTGTGACCCAGACGAGATCGTGCAAATGGCTCCACTGGCAGTACCACTCAAGGGCCTTCCCATCAAGCTAACCTCCAATCCAATGTAGTGGACGATTGATGAGAAAATCATACTTCGCTACGACCAAGAGAAATAGTTGAAACCCGGTTTAGGTTCTTTGCAATGTTCTTGCGTTTGTGGATTTCTTGCATATCTGGGGAGTTCAGGCCGGGGATGGAGCAAACGATCTCCTCAACGCACTCGATTGGGAAGATTTGTGGCACAGATGGACAGCTCTTGTAGAGGGCGAGAGGCGCTTGCCAGTGCATTCGGTTTTGCTGGAACTTTGTTCAGAAAATTTGTAATATACTTTAGACAAAATCTTATGCAATCAGCCATAAGTCAAATTTCTTACCTTTAATATTATTATTGTTCTTTATTTTATATAAAAACTATGTTGTGTCTCCGATTTTCTTCGGTTGGCATGTGTCATACATATGTATGACTGAATCTTAGTATATTTAACAATAATTTTCCTTCCCATGAGGGGCACGAGTTAAATAATTTATGAACCATGGCGACTTACAAGTTGTCCAAGTTGAGGTTTAACTATGCCATATAAAAGAAATCAATCTTGGGAGTTCATGCAGTTTAAGCAAATTGCAGCAATGGATTCACATAGTTTGCAGAATGTATCTAGATCTCTTCCATTGCAGCTGGATCCAAAGCGTTTGCCTCGGCATGTTGCTGTGATACCTGATGGAAATGTCCGCTGGACCAAAGCCAATGGCCTCTCCGCTTATAAGGGTCTTTCGGTTCTACGAGACATTGCTCGGATTTCCAACCAGTGGGGGATCGAAGTATTAACGGCATTTGCATTCTCCACCGATAACTTCAAGAGACCAAAGGCAGAGGTTGAGTTCGTGCTTGAGCACCTGGACAACATGTTCACGCTTGATCACCCAAACACAGTTCTCAAGTAAGTATGCCAGGATGACAATCTCGAAAAGCAGTATGAACAAATTCTAAAAACTTTCCAGGGATGGGCTCAAAGTTCGCTGCATTGGAGACATGTCCAAGCTTCCAAGGTCTCTACAAGCAAAGATCTCTGAGGCACACGAGATGACTCGAGATAGCAAGGATCTGAAGTTTATATTGGCTATTGCCTATGGCGGCTGGGAAGATGTTCTCCAGGCTTGCCAACGAATAGCCTCTGAAGTTGAGCAAGGAGTTGTCAAGGCAAATGATATTGATCAGTGCTACTTAAGGAAGAAAATGCTGCTCACCGAGTGGGATGAGGAGGTCGGTGACCCCGATCTACTGATTCGCACCAGCGGGGAGCAAAGATTGAGCAACTATCTAATGAACAACTTGAGTTACACGGAATTGGTATTTACTGAGAAGCTTTGGCCAGACTTCAATGAAGAAGATTACGTGAAAGCTGTGGTGGAGTTCCAGGAAAGAAACAGGCGATATGGACGACATGATAATTAAGTCTGCGCTTTAACGCTTATCTACGATCATAAGCCCAATTAACAAAGTGATCCATGAGGTGGATCAGAGGCAGTGCCTTGGTCTCCTCGAACACACCCAGCCGTTCCTTGGCCTCCACCAAGAGCTGCCCAACTATCTCCCTCGACTTGTCCACGCCCAAGATGGTGGAATACGTGCTCTTGCCCGTCATCGCGTCCTGGCCCGCGACCTTCCCCAGCTCCTCGGTCGTCTTGGTAGCATCCGCGATATCGTCCACGATCTGGTAGAGAAGCCCAGTCACCCTTCCATATGCTCTCAGTGCCTCAATGTCCTGATCGCTGGCGCCACCGGCAATGGCCCCGATCACCAGCGACGCCTCGAGCAACGCCGACGTCTTGTGGAGGTGGACAAACTCGAGAGTCTCCAGCTCCACTGCGCGGCCCGCGTTCTGGATACCCATGTCGACGGCTTGACCGGCCAGCAGGCCCGTTGACCCGACAGCCCGGCTCACCTCCCCCACCATCCTCGCCGCCGTGTCCCCCCGGTAGTGCGCTGCCAGGTGCTCGAACCCGAGCACAAGCAGCGCGGTACCCGCGAAGAGTGCCGTAGGGATGCCAAACGCGCAGTGGACAGTCGGCTTGCCGTCGCGGAGCTCTGCGTTGTCGATGGACGGGAGATCGTCCTGGACGCAAGTGCTGGTCTTGATCATCTCCACCGCACAGGCTCCTGGCATGGCGTCGTCCTGGCTGCCGCCCACCAGCTCGCACGCCGCGATGCAAACGATGGCACACATCAGCCGCCCTTGGCTCAGTGCGTAGCGCATTGCCTCGTGCAACTGGAGCGTCTCGGGCCGCTTGAACGGCGGCGGGAGAGCGTGCTGGATGGAGATGGACACGGCCTTGAACTTGGATTTGACATAGAGATCGTAGTCGAACTTGTTGGGCTTGGTGGAGGAGGCGCTGGTGGCGATGCGGCGGTATTGAACTCTCGGAGAGAAGACGAGGCCACTGATCTGCTTGTTCATGCTTGAAACTTCCACTGCTTCTAGCGGTAACGATTTATAAAAAGAATTTTATTATAGTTAATTAAACTACATTATTTTCATTTTTACCCTTATAATTTAACTTTTGAAAATGATCTATTTACAAATGCCCTATTGTAACATTTATCATTGCATTTATTCTCTTGGCAATTTGAGCGAAATGCTGCATGATCCAAGCCTTTGACCAGCACTATCTCTGCACGGGACATCCCACCATTTCTTCCTCTTGCTAGGTGATTCCTCCTCGCTCAGATCTCCCGAGCTGGAGCTAAAACACCTGCGGCTGCGGCTACTCCTGCTCCCCTCACCTTGCAAAACTCAATCAGCCTCGAGAAAAATCTCTGCCTTCCAATTCTTTCTAGGTGATCCAGCTGTGCTTGATCAAGCAGGAAGTTGTCAAGTTCGTGGAGGCTGATGAGGTGGATGGATTGGCTGCTAAGCCCCATGGGAAATTGCAGTTTTGGCGATGCCAATGCTGGAAAGCGAGCTGTTTATGGAGTCCATGGCGATGAGCTATGACCATCTAGCGAGCAGGTCAGTAGGATGTGGAGAGTACAGGGCTTAGGACTAAGCTTAAGGAATCTTTTGATCATGCTACAGGAGTTTAATCTGTAGATAGCTTTTGTTAGGTATATTATTTCTTGTTTTGCATTTGGCTTGGGTTTAAACTTAAGTTCCATGCCATTATTAGTTAATGAAGTGCCCACATTTTTGCATTAAGTTATAAATATGTTAAAATTGTGCAAAACTTTATTTGGCTTTGTTCTGTGCGACAAAAAACTCTAAAGATATGTTCTATAACAATTATTGGAATTGTGAAATACCTTTTGAACTCTCATTGCTTACATGTGAACCTTGCTAATGCTTACTTAAAGGAGACAAAATCTCGTGCAATCAGCCATAAGTCAAATTTCTTACCTTTAATATTATTATTGTTCTTTAGATTATATATTAAAAACTATGTTGTGTCTCCGATTTTCTTCGGTTGGCATGTGTCACACATATGTATGACTGAATCTTAGTATATTTAACATTAGTTTTCCTTCCCATGAGGGGCACGAGATAAATAATTTATGAACCGTGGCGACTTACAAGTTGTCCAAGTTGATGTTTAACTATGCGATATAAAAGATGGCTGCTTGAGCTCCTTCTCAAAACTTTTGACTTCGATCCCCCACTGGTTGGAAATCCAAGCAATGTCTCTTAGAACCGAAAGACCCTTATAAGCAGAGAGGCCATTGGCTTTGGTCCAGCAGACATTTCCATCAGGTATCACAGCAACATGCTGAGGCAAACGCTTTGGATCCAGCTGCAATGGAAGAGATTTGGATACATTCTGCAAACTGTGTGAATCCATTGCTGCAATTTTCTTAAACTGCATGAACAACTTGATCACCCAAACACTGTTCTCAAGGATGACAATCTCGAAAAGCAGTATGTTTGTATATAACAAATTCTAAAAACTTTCCAGGGATGGGATCAAAGTTCGCTGCATTGGAGACAAGTCCAAGCTCTACAAGCAAAGATCTCTGAGGCACACGAGATGACTCAAGATAGCAAGGATCTGAAGTTTATTTTGGCTATCACCTATGGTGGCTGGGAAGATGTTCTCCAGGCTTGCCGACGAGCCTCTGAAGTTGAGCAAGGAGTTGTCAAGGCAAATGATATTAATCAGTGTTACTTATGGAAGAAAATGCTGCTCACCGAGTTGGATGGGGAGGTCAGTGACCCTGATCTACTGATTTGCACCAGCAGGGAGCAAAGATTGAGCAACTATCTAGTGAACAACTTGAGTTACACAGAATTGGTATTTACTAAGAAGCTTCAGCCAGACTTCAATGAAGAAGATTATGTGAAAGCTTTGGTGGAGTTCCAGGAAAGAAACAGATGATATATATAATAAATTGTTATGCATTGCATGTAGCAATGTTTGGTTTGCTTAATAGTAGTGTTATTTTTACTTATCAATCTAATTGATCAAATAAAATTTATAATTATAAGCATGTTTAAACACAATATTAATCTTATTTCATTAAATTATAAAATAAAAAATATACTAGAAAGGATTTAATAAATTTTATAAATTATAAACATGTTTATAAATTATAAATACAATATTAATCTAAATGAATAAAAACCATTAGATGGTAGAATATTCTAGAATTCAAGCATATTTTAGGTATATTCACTACCATCCTAGTCCCCTTACAGGTTTGCTTAAGCAAACCAAAAAAAAAGTTTAACTAATAACAATAATAATAATCTCCTTTAAATAAAAATGCTATATAATAATATTGTGTTGTTAATAGTGGTTGTAGCATTCATGAGATTTTAAAAATGGGAAAAGAATCCAGATGATAGAAGCTAGTGGTGGCAAGAGATGTGGCAATACTAATAAATATGTACTTTTTAAGTGGAAATTTGGTAACATAAGAGCTGGTTTAAATTTTTAAGAATTAAAATGTGATTGGATATTTTAATATATTTTACCATCTAACGGTTGATATTCATTTACATTAATTTGTAAATTATAAACATGTTTATAATTTATATAAACTTTCTTTAACTGTACTCTATTTTTATTAACTTTCTTAACCATCAAGTAAATTCTGAGCAGCCATAGATTGATTCATGTTATAGATTTGGTGCCCTCAGAGAGGCACAGAGGGCTCATGCTTCCATTCTGCTTTTCTCTTATTAATTTTTTTTTCAGTATTTATTCAGCCATGACTTTGCACAAAACTCCAATTTTATAGAGGTGGTAGACTTTGCTTAGCAACTTAACAAGAAATTAAGAAATTGTTGTGAAGATAATTTTTAAGTGACAGAACTGTTTAATGATCCTTCAGCATTTGGTTCCTTGGTATATAGATGATCACTGACCTCCACTTTGAGGTTCATTACACTATCTGATTTGTGTCTAATGCCAATGTTGGTGTGAAGTTATTATGAACTATACATATTGATTAATTGGACATTAAATATCCTTAACAAAATTTGAGCTTAGGTAATTAAAGGATGATTAAACCTCAAAAACTAAAAAAATTTATTTTAATCAAGCTATGGCCCCTGGATGAAATGGTAATGGTGAGTGGTTGGATTTTAGGAGATTATTTTCCTAGAAATCAAGAGAGAAACTTTTGATATATTTTCATGAATATTTCTCAAATCCTTAAAATTTGCTGATATTAATTTATTTCTCATGGTATAAGGATAATTAATATTCAATTTAAGCAAAGCGCAGGAAACTATTTATTTATTTCAATTGATAATGGTCCCCATAACCACTGCATCAGATTGTATTTCATGTCGAATAGTTCTAGAATTGGCACCGCATTGCTTCTGGGAGTTTGCTGGTTGATGCCGGACTGACTTGACTCATGAACAGCTCCTAGTGGAGTGGACAAAATAAGTAGAATGCAAACTTTCAAACTTGCAAACTTTTATAATATACGGTTGTCATACGGCTCTGCATGGACGTCGGTCTCCTGCCAGTTGAGATTGTAGCATGGAAAGAGACGATGCAATTCCTCATCACAACACGCCGGACACCTTCGAGCAATATGTGATCGCGGCTATTGAGGATTCTCGCCAGAACACAGCCTTGACTGCCAAAAAAGGAGGTCCATAAAAGTTATAAACTTGATCATAGTGGTTTCCACACCATTTTAATCACCTAAAAAATATGGCAACGGAGAGACTCGGCATCCACTCACTCCTCCAACAGCCAACCACGGTGGTGCCCTTGGCATGGACCTGTGCTTGTCAACTTCAGCTTCTGAAAACCTCCAAGACTCTTTTCTGGATTCACAACTCGCTTCCCAGCACAGAACAGGGTAAGAACAAGGAAGCTGGTTTTAGATACACTCCATACTCACTGGTGCTTGGTGTAGATTTCGGGATTCACGGCTTGCTTGGCAAGTGCACCCATCAAGAAACAAGTCCTTCTAGTGCAACGCCGAGACCAAAGATGAAGCAATTCGCGTGCATTGGCAGGTCGATGCCTGTGTTCCATAGACCAGCCGGCTGCCTGAACGGATTCTCCGTTATCTGAGAAGGCAACAAGGACCGGGATCACACCACCGATTTTTCTATGAAAAGATGCTCACTGGAAAAGTGACGTGGTTTGGCTCCAAGGAATCGATGCACTCGACAGCGAGCACACAAGCTTCCTCACAAAAGTCGGTGACGAAAACGGGGACTTCCATTGTAAGGAGCAATTCCTGGCAAGAGTTTGGACACGGTGTTAAAGTAGAGTATATGGAGGCGGCTTACAATCGTGGGTCTCCAAGTGATGTATGCCGCAATGCCGGCGTTGAAAGCCACTACAAAATCCGCACGAGAAATCTGGAACAAAGTCAGGACGAAGTGCCCTCACAGTGGAAGGGCTTGTGGAGCACCTGGTGATGAACGTCGTGATACAATCCCTTCCACAAAGATACGGATACGGTAGGAGTTATCGTGTGATTCGTTTCAAGTTTGCACTCGCAGCTAGCATCGAGGCACTTTGGATATGAAGACAGCTCCAAAGTGCTTCCATGACTGGAAACAAGGCGCGGGTTTCTTATGAAAAGAAAAGAGAAACAAAGAACATACCTTGAGGAAGGAACAGCAGGTCCAACAAAGTCTATGTGGATTTGAGTGCCAGGAAGAAGCGCGAGAAGCTCAGTGAATACCTCGAGCTGTTCAAGCTCCCGCTCTGGGCCTGAAAGATGAATTGAACACGAGACATGGCGTGCTTGAGAAACAAGTACCTAGGTAATGGATCGTCAGCTTTTCTCTCGGATCAAAAGTTGCTTGGTTGATCGCATAGTAGAGTGTAAGTGGCTGCCACGGTAATGATTTAGTCGAATGAGTTCTGGGCTATGGAACTTACCGAGTGAAGAAGAATGGCCGCCGGTGAATGCAAAGGTAAGTCACGCCACTCGTAGTACTGCTTCCAGCTCTCCAGTGGTGCCGCTGGAGCGTTCCTGGGACCTGAGCACACGCTAAGTTAGAAAAAGACTAGAGAACTCGCGAGAGGACACTACATTGCCTTTGCATGGACAAGCGTTGCTGGGAAGGTGCCAGGACGAGTCCCTGCGAGAACTTGCTCCTGCTAGACAAGAGCACTCGTTCTTCCACAGCCCTTTCCCGTGGAGTCCTCTCTTGTCAAGAAATCCACACATCGAGCTCTCCAGCTGCGAGAGAAAAATCCAGCAGTCCAACTCTAGCTGAAAGCCATACCTCGAAAGAAAAGGGAAATTCGCTGAGAGAGGACGCCTTCCGCGCTTGCTGCGCAAGGCGCTTGCAGACAAGCTTGTGTTCGCTCCAATGCCTGCTCTGCTCGAAAGAACAACAGAACTACTACATGACCCAATCGATTGCCGCGATTCTTGAAACCTGGTGGAATCGCGAGCAGTACCAGACGACGCCGCATCCATCGCAGCGGATCGGGCAGGACGCATCATCGACGCAGCGGCTCAAATTTCTCGCCCCGCAATCCATGACCGCGGGATCCAAGAATGTAGCGCTAAGCTACCGAAAACCCTAAAATTCTGGGATATCCACCGCATATACCTTGTAAGCATATCCCCAGTATGGGCAATTGGGTTTTTGTTTGTGTTTGATGGATCCAGATGCCGTATAGAGAAGATTGACACATGAAATCAATCAGGGCTACATCTAGATTGCTAGAGAACGAAACCAGCAGAGATGTCTGCTCGAAACTAAAACAGTGTGTGAGTTCCAAGGACTTTCCAGCTTGTACGAGACTTCACCAAAAGATTACCGAGAATCACTGGGAGCTCAGCACATATTCCTGGAATCTCTTGCTTGAAATGTACGGGAGGTTTGGAAGCCTCGAGGACGCACGCAGGATATTCAATGGCATGGGAGACAGGAACACGTTCACGTGGAATATTATGGTTTCGGCATATGCCCACAGAGGGAATCTAGCAGATGCCGAGGCTTTGTTTGCGGTGATGCCGCAAGCAAATGTAGTTTCTTGTAATATAATGCTAAGTTGCTATGTCTCTACGGGTAAATTCAAGCAAGCTGAAGAACTGTTTGAAAAGATGGTGGACAAGAACGATGTGTCGCTGACTACAATGGTGACGGCATATTCCCTGATCGGGAATGTGCGGAAAGCTGAGCTAACGTTTGAAAAGATTCCAAAACCGAGTGTGGTATCCTGCAATGCAATGCTTCAAGCTTATGTAAAGCTCGGTTTAGTCGATAAAGCAAAAGATATGCTGGAAAAAATGAAAATCCGCGATGTTATTTCGTGGACTACTCTGCTGACCGCATATGCCCAAAATGGGGATGTTCGCAATGCCGAGGATCTCTTTGAGAGAATGCCAGAGAGAAATGTTGTCTCTTGGAATGTCATGATAAGAGCATATTCTCACAATGGTTTGATACCGAAGGCTAGATTGCTCTTTGACCAAGCACCTATCCGGAACCATGTCACTTGGAACACAATGATCTCAGCATATTCGCAGGATGGGCTTGTAGAAGATGCCAAGGTTCTCTTTGATAAGATGCCTGAGAGAGATGCTGTGTCCTGGAATTCCATGCTGTATGGGTATGTGAAAGTTGCAGATTTTGACCAGGCAAGAAGCATCTTTGGAAGGATTCCGGAGCCCAATGTGGTATCTTGGACTTGCATTCTCATGGGATATGCTCAGGCACGGAATCTAAAGGCGGCCAAGGGAATCTTTGACGATATCCCGCAAAGGAATCTGGTTGCATCGAACGTGTTGATGCACGCGTCCGCTCAAGTTGGCGAGTTTGAAGAGATGGAATATCTGTTTCATTCTATGCCCGAAAGAGATTTATTCTCGTGGAATGTGATGATTGAGGGATATGCTCGCCAAGGAAAGTTGGCGGAGTCTAGGAAGATCTTTGACTCCATGCCGGTCAAAGACCTCGTCTCATGGTCAACTATAATCGTTACGTGTAGTCAGCAAAAAGATGTAACTCAGGTGGTTTACTTGTTTGAGAGAATGCCCGAGCACAACATTGTGGCCTGGAACGCGCTACTTTACGCAAATGCCAAAGCCGGGGATTTGCACGAAGCTCGAGCTGTATTTGAGAAACACCCAGACAAAGACATAGCGTCATGGAACATCCTCCTCTCGGCTTACTCACAGCACAACGATTTTGCGAATGCCGAGATGGTGTTTGAGAGAATGCCGGAGAGAAGTCTCGTGTCGTTTAATTCCATGCTCCAAGCTTGCGCCACCAGCGGCAAGATCGACAAGGCGGAGCCACTGTTTCGAGCCATGGAAGATCGAGATGTTGTGTCGTGGACGTGCTTGATCACTGCTTATGCCAAGAGTAGCGGCCGAGCCTTGGATGGAGTGAGAGCCTTCAAACTCATGGACCAAGATGGTGTTCTTCCCGACGTGGTTGCCACCACTGCGGCTATGGAGGCCTGCTCGATCGCCGGAGCTCCAGCACAAGCGAGAGAGATGTTCTCCTGTTTCGAAGAAGCCGGACACGGCGAGGCCGATAATCTACTCGTCGCGAACCTTGTCACCGTCTTTGCGAGCTGTGGAGAGCTGAGTGAAGCTCGAAAGCTGTTTAACAAGCTCGTAAACCCGGACGTGGTCGTGTGGAGTAACTTGGTTGCGGCCTATGCCCGGAGTGGTGACGGCAAAGTCGCGCTGGAGGCGTTTCAGCTCATGGCGCTCGATGGTAAGCTGCCCGATGAGATTGCCTTCGTTGTCATTCTCTCGGCTTGTAGCCACGCTGGTCTCTTTGACGAAGCCCGTTACTACTTCACCACTATCACGTCTGACTACTCCATGAAGCCTGTCGTGGAGCACTACCACTGCATTGTCGATCTTCTCGGCCGGCTCGGGAGGCTCGACGACGCTAGCACTGTCGCTCGAGAAATGCCGTTTGAATCGAATAGCATCTCGTGGACCACGCTCCTCAGTGCATCAAATGTCCAGTCCAACTATAGTCACGCCGCAGAAGCAGCCGAGAATGCTGTAGATTGTGACCAGCTCAACTCCGCTGCCTACATTCTTCTATCAAACTTGGCTCCATCCTGATAAGAAAACTTGTTATCTTCATTTTGTGATCCTGGTGGACTCACCGCCATGTAATCGCCTCTGGTAACTTCATCATATCTCCCAAGCGATTTAGATGCTACTTCCCTGCAAAAGTAACGGAGAGAGATGGCTGAAAATGTTATAAACACTAGCGAACCATACCTCTTCACGGCTTCCAACGTTGCATAAAAGGGAAAACAGTACAGTGCCATGTCCAGCAACTTCTTCGGCTAAAACGTTGATCACTGCCACTGGTTTCTGGCTCCAAGCTTCATTTCCAGCGCAAGCTACGTACTCGTCCGTCTCGTTTTTCGGGGTCCTTCGTTGTATGAGGTGTACCAGAGGCAACGTGACCGTTCGCTTCTTCCGCGATAAGTTGAAAAAGGCGATATAGATTTGTCCATTGCCTCGCCCATGAGCGACCCACACTCGTTCTGCGTCATTCCCTTGAGCGTTTCTGTTGCCCGTACTGTGAGAGTTTACTTCCAAAACCGTCGGATTTGTAAGCAAGCTCAATGTTTCATTGTCCAAACGTCGTAAATCACCTCCAAACATGAGAGGAGACTTTGCCACTGCCCAGAGCGTCATCTACCAAGAAAAAATGTGAGTGATGTGCATTACAATGTACACTTAACTGAACCTGTGTTTTCTTCTCCTCCAAAGACAGTCTAGAATTTCGATACGGACCATAAGCAGCAGCTGGAACGAGAAAACCCTGACTTCATCAAAAGAACAAAACAAAAAACTAGTTTACCAGGATCCGTAAGACGTCCAAATGGTAGCATATCTAAGTCTACCCAAGACTTGCCTCCAACCACGCTAGGAATGGCAATGAGTCCCGCATTTGCGAAGTCTCTGAAACAGTGCAAGTTAACAGAATACAAAGAATGCAATTCTTGGTACCTTGCTACATCAAAATGCTTCACGAGATACTTCCAGTCGTCCCAGTCGTCCCCAGTAACTCGATACATGTTTACAAGTTGCGCCACCCTTGCAGCCAACCCGGGTGTTGCTCCATCTCCCGGGGACAAAGAATATATCATCGGACGTCCTGAGTTACGAATAGCTTTTGAAACTGTGAGTATCTCGTCGAGCTGGGGATTCTCTGCCCCGAAAACGCAGTCATGTTTGATGAAGTCTATCCCCCAAGAAGCATATTGATCGTAAAGAGATTGAATGAAAAGCTTTCCACCTTCACTGCTGGTATTGACCCCAACAAAGCATTGTTGCATCCACGGGCAGGCTTGATCCATCAAAGCAATATCTTTAGCGTTCCATGCATGTCCATTGCTCTTGAATGCGCCCAAGATCGGAGTTTTCTTCTTTACTGCTGTCGTGCTGATTCCTCTCATGACGTGAATACCGAGCTTAAGACCCAGTGCATGAACTTTAGCGGCAATAGGTGCAAATCCTTTTCCACCGGTCGTGGAAGGCCATCGTTTTGGATCCGGAAGCGGTCGTCCCCACTTATCAATGAGATCATAACCGGGCGACTTTGCAGAAGTTTTAAACCATCCATGTTTTAGCTTACGATACCACAGGTAATCTATTACGACGTACTGCATCATATCTGACTGTGAGCTTGACAGGCGAAAAACAAGTAGCCGTTACCTCATATCCATGCGGCTTAAGAGTTTCTGATACAATTTTCGCATTTTCCAAAAATTGTTCCTCAGAAATAGTAAAAGAAAACGAATCATAAGAATTCCAGCCGCGAGGTGGCGTTGCGGCGCTACGCGCACTGGAAAAGGACAAGGTGCTTGTCAGCTAAAGAAATAAGAGAGTTTACGCTAATATCGCGCTCAGCAAAAGAATAAGAAGCAGAAAGCTGCAACAACAGGGAACCTTGACTCTGTATAAAGCTGCAACAAGTTTAAAGCAAGCACAATTGAGAATTTCGCAAAACATTTACTCACAGCTAGCCAGGAAACTCATTTCGTCCTCTGAATCTAGTCTTGGTTAACTGCAATAACCGCCGAACTGTTCTTCGTGAAAAAAGAGAAAGAAAAGAGTATTTTTTGTCTTACCGTCTCGGGTAGTCAAAGTCATATCGTTCTAACGTTGCAAATTACGATGGAAATATGGATGACTTAAAGCTTCGTCCACTGAAACACGATCCTCCTGAAAATGTTAAGTCAGGAAACGTATAGAAAAGCGTTTTAAAGCTCACCGGATACCATTGAAGAAGTTGACGTAGAAGCCGAAATGACCATATGTCTGGCATGCTGCAACAGAAAGTTAATGCCTTAAACACGTACATGGCTCAGACAAACCCCAATCCTAGTGGATCTCGTTGCTGGATCTTTCTCTGCAGGGCAGCTTCACTACAGTCCATTGAAGCAAGCTGACTTTCTTCCTGAACAAGTAAATATGTATCCACAAAGTTTGAGATCAGATAACTATCGGACCTGGTGGTTCACAGTTTCATTTCGATGATGCCGAGGAGGAACACGAGGCAAGAAAATGCACATCTCCATGAAAGCTCGTAACCTGAAGAAATTCTTGTAACATCACGTTTGGCAGAAAACAGACAACGTACTGACATGTAAGCAACGTTTTTCGACTCTTCGTCCCAGCCTCCCAAACTTCTGTCGAGAAGAACTCGTGTTCGAGCGCTTATTTGAAATACATGGGGAGTGCCTAGAACGATTTCCAGCATTATTACCCCTACACTCCAGATGTCATGCCTACACCAACAAAGTAAAGACCATTTGCTAAAACATAACTCACTTACGCTTTGGTTTGATTTGGATGGAAATGCATCCAGTGGTCAAAAAGTAGAGCTTCTGGAGGAGCGTACTCCGGCGTGTGCTCATTTCTGAGTCTTGATTATTAGAAGCATACTCAAACAAAGAAATTTACCTGCTTGGTCCCGCAGATCCATACAAATGCTGTAGCGTAAATGGATTTATAGCACTCCCGAAATCAATTAAGCGTCTGAAATATATGTATTAGTACCTCGATGCTCCTTCGTTTGAACTTACAAACTGAGATTCGCAGGCCATTTGATACTTTTATTCGTACTATCCACAGGTTCTTGGACGACCATGTTTTCTGAGACGTAGAGGTAAGCGAGGAAATAGCTGTAACACATATGTTATACCTGGTTTTAAGTCTCGATGTGTAATATTACGATCGTGGCATGCTTTGACGGCTAATAGCTGAAAAGATACAATTTCAGTTTGCAATGATTCAAACACTAAATCAACCAAGGAACGTACCAACTGACGGAGTAAGTTGCGCATTTCCCGTTGACCTTTCTTTGTAGTTTTCAGCCACCGCCACCATGCCGATGGTCGAACGACTTCAAACAGTCTTTTGTCTTTGCTTTCAGAGCCATTACTTCCTGGTGCTCGTTCCGATTCGTAAAGCAGCCGAGATAAAGATCGCCCTTCTTTCTTAAACACTAGCCAGAGATTGCCTTGCACCACAAACGAGTCCAGGAAACGCGCTACATGGTTGAGTCCTTCCTCGGTACTTAGCCGACTTCTGGACGCGTTTAAGAAAATCTCTCCGAAGTGCCTCTCTCTCAAACCACTCAATCGAATTTCCGGCCGTCCATTGAGCTGCAGCATTCTTCAAATAGTTAGAGACAGTAAGCACATGCTTAAAGAAGAATCTACCAGAATTTGCTTCAAGACGAAAACATCGTCCTCAAGACCGTCTGCATTTGACTCAAAATTATCCTCGTGCAAACGCCATTCGCAAAACCCCGTTCCAAGCTCTTCAGTTTTGCATTCCTTTCGGACAGCCAACCATATTTGCCCGAAAGAACCCCGCGCAAACTTCTTTTTAAGAATGTACCTGCAGTGTTAACATTGTGAGTATGTTGTGAATAGGATTGTTCTTACCTATAATGATGAAGCATAAAAGAAGGGGGAGCTTCAAAGACTTTTGATGTAGAGACATTTAAGCTTGCGAAGCTCTCAAAATCAGTGGGAACTGCAGCAATAAGGTCTATAAGTTGGCATGGTGCGGGATTGTGCTCGACATTTGCAGGAACGGTTTCCCTCGTGTCTGAGAAAAACAGCATTTTATTATTTGTAATCCAAACCCGTATTTACCTGGGAGTACGAAACTAAACTTAGAAGGACATAGCTTGTCTGCTTTCTTCGAACGACCTTCATACTGAAAATGAGAAATCACTTCTCTATGTAGAGGTTCTGTGAGTGAATAGCAAAAACGAGCGCCTTCACGACGAACCTAAAAGAGAACATGCGTGATACTCAAGATAAAATGAAAACTTACAATGACACCAGTTACAAGAGATCCTGGTGTCTTAGTAACACTCTCAGGAAAGTAATTACAGCCTGTAGACAAAAAACATGAGGAAAAACATTAAGGGAAAAAAAAAGGTGCTAGAACCTGATGTCGCATTGTCATCCATAGTAGTATCGTGATCGTTCTCGCTCTTTTCAATATTCGGAATATCGCCAAGGGCATAGACAACGGTTGCAAGATTGTCTGTACTTCCCAGTTTAAAAGCACTGTCGACGATTCCGTCGGCCATAACATTAAGCTGATATCTGCCAGAGGTTATCTCGTTCTCCAAATCTGATCGCCCCGGTAAACAGGTATGCAGGAAGTCGCGGCACAAATTCGACTCAGGTGGAGAAGTCATTTCTTTTGGTGGCGGCAAGGGAATCGCAACTTTCGCAGATAAAAACCTGTTCTTTAGAGTTCGAGAAACGTCCTTTCCGACCTCAATACTTTTTAAGACCGCGCAAACATCCTGGGAACTCATAGTCTCAAAAATCCCATCGGATGCAAGAACTAGATATTTGTTCTTGTCACCAATCTTTTTCCAGCCAGTAAATTCGGGTTCTGAGATTACACCGTACCTAAACGTAAAACAAAATGAAAATGCAAAGAGACAAGTATATGACGAGAAGTATAACTTACTTCTTAAGCGCCAAGTCTCCAATAGACCGTGAAACAGCTAAAATTCCAGCGACACGGGGAATGCTTCGGGAGTGTTCGACATAACCACCAAAGGACTCAATTCTCAGCTTCTCGTCTCTTCGGTTGGGATGATGATCTAACGTAAGCTCCTCCGCATTTAGAACGCCAGATTCTGCAGGCGGCAGTTCAGTACTCACGAGTAACATGCAACACATTAACTTACCTTCATCAGATAGAGAACAAATTAAAGCTTTGGAGTCGCCAATATTCGCTACGAGAACATGATCGTCAATTACAATGGCTACACAAGCAGTCGTGCCTCCCATCGCTTCACCGTCAATGGCTCTCTGTAAATCTTGGCATGAAAACCATCTAGGATCTAGATCATTAGCTTCAGACCTTAATAAAAGCTTCTTCAATGTCGACCAAAGCCGCTGCGAGTGCTTCCTTCATAATCTTTCTCCAGAAAATTCCTTCCAGCTCTTCATCCGAAATAGAAGATTTAGCGTCAGGAAAGTTGTCATTCCTTGGCGATTCCAATGTCGCTGTAGATATCTTGTACACGTGATGTAGGAAATACTTATGGAGGCAGTGTGCGCAAATCGAACTGGCTGTTTTACTACCGTGGCCATCAAAAACTCCAAGCAAAGAAAACGAAAACTTTTTCCCTGTCAACCGAGATGAGCCAGAGAAAAAATGGAGGGAAATTCACGCAATACTGACCTGATAGAGGAGGAAGATCAATTCCAGGAAAACAAATCAGCGTGTCTTCCTGTGTCGGCCTCCGACCTATCCGAATCGATGTTCCACAGCTGCCATCTGCTACTCCCGTCGAAACATTACCCAGGCAGCTCCCTGGCGCCACAATCTCGATGAGCCTCTTCCAGTCCTCGGAAAATCTTTGCTTCGTCGCGTCATCGACCCGATCTAGATAATCCACCACCGCATTTGATCCCTGTGCTCGATGAGCCAGAGCGATCCACACCAGAATCCAGAGCAATGACTCCCGCATTTGCTGCTGCGCCGGAACAATCCACACAAGATCATCTGCCCCCCACTTTAGGGCTTATACCCTGTTGTTAGGGTTCTAGCGAGAGTGAAAATGTCTTAACCGAATATTTTAACCTAACGCCAACCGTCGATACAGGTTCCATTCAGGCCAAGATCCTGTATGCGCTGAAGGTAAAGATTTCCCACGCGAGGCTTGATCCAACGCTCCTGGGCTCGCCAGCTCAACAACGTGAAACATCGGTAAACGACTATGATGCCTCCGTACGCCACAGGGAACAATCACAGCGCCAGCATTTGGCCACGTGGACGGGCCTTACGTGATCGCGTTGAGGCCGTCACTTCCCGCAATCCAACGGTTGAGTAACAAACCTCTCATGGCCTTCTTCCCTTCTTCTTTGCTGCGCGGCCATGCTCCTCTTTGCATTCTCGCGAATCTTCCAAAAACCTATCTCTTTCTTGTTCTTCTCTTCGCGAAGATGAGGAGTTTCTGGTAGGGGGGCGATCGATCGAAGATGCGCTTCCACTGGCGATGCGGCGCCAATCCCGATCCTCCCGACGTGCTCCCAGCTCATCAAGATCCTGCGCCGCAGGTGATTTCGGCTCCGATCAACAGGCGCTCCCGGAAATTCGAGAAGGAAGGTCCGTTCGCTGTCGTCCATGGCGCGCTGCCGGCGCACGCGAAGAAATTCCAGCAATTCAGGCACACGTTGCAAGATTTCGTGGAGTTCGTCCTCTTCCGGGCAATGCTGCACACGAAGAAGGGAGCGCGGAACTGGGGAGTCTTTCTATCTGCATTGGCGACAATCTTTCTCGTCACGCTCAAACTAGTCTCGATCGGGCGGCCTCTTCCAACGCAGGCTGGATTCCGGGTGAGAATTTCTCGCCTCCTCCTTGGAACTTCTCTGATTCTTAGCGCTCAAATTTCACAGGATCGTCCTTCCAGCGCGATGCTACGAGCGGTATCGGAGTCGGAGTTCGCGATCGTCGATCCCACACAGAAAAAACTCCTTTCTTCCTGGGCAGGCCGGCAAGAGGTTCGTAAATTCGACTCTTTAGGTTTTAGTTAGTTTTGGGTGGAAGCAGGACTATGACGAGCTATGGGCCAGGCCACGCAGCGATAGATACCGCCAATGCATTGCTCGTTCCCGGCGTCATAGAGGTACCTAGAGCTTTTTCCTGTCTTAGCGGATGAAGCTTACATCTTTATGGGTGGATGTTTTTTTGCAGGACCAGGAGCAGTGACGAATGGTTACCTTTTAGTGACTGCCAATGGCGGACTCAATCAAATGCGAACGGGGGTAAGCTTCTGAGACTTGTATTTTTCAAAGAAATCGTTGAAGGCCAGAGGTTTTTCTGCTTGATGTAGATTTGCGACATGGTTGCTGTCGCTCGGCTTATGAATGCGACCCTCGTCGTTCCTGTCCTTGACAAGACATCCTTTTGGAATGATCCCAGGTAGCTCCAGTTCGTTGAACTGTTCGGTTCGTCGTTTCAACTTACTGTTTCTTCTCAGCGATTTCAAGGACATATTTGATGTAAACTATTTCATCCACGCGTTAGAGAAAGACGTGTCTATTGTTGAAGCGCTGCCTCCCTCTCTCCGGGATGTCGTTCCTTTCCGCAAGGCTCCTGTATCGTGGTCCAATGTAAGCTTTAAGTTTTTGTCTTTGTGCAATGGTTGCTTTATCTTTGTACTGTTCCAGGAATCATACTATAGAAACAACATGACGGCATTGCTCAAAGAGCACAAGGTTTTGCACCTGACGCATGCAGACTCGAGGCTTGCCAACAACGACCTTCCAGACGAGATCCAGAGGCTGAGATGCCGTGCGAATTACCATGCACTGAAGTTCACAGAACCTTTGCAAAGAGTGGCAGACGCGCTGATCAAGAGAATGCAAAGTACAGGCCCGTTCATTGCGCTGCATCTCAGGTACTGAAAACTTGAGCTTGTGTTTCTTTCTCTAATTGCTCGTTCCAGATACGAAAAAGATATGCTGTCTTTTACTGGATGTACACACGGTTTGTCCACCGAGGAAGCACGAGAACTGAAGCGCATGAGATACGACGTGCGGCATTGGAAAGAGAAGGAAATTGACGGCGAGGAGAAACGCAGGCAAGGTGGTTGTCCTCTAACCCCTTACGAGACTGGGCTTTTTCTCAAAGCTCTTGGCTATCCCGAGCCCACGGCCATCTACATTGTCGCCGGGGAAACTTATGGGAACGGCAGCATGGCGTCGCTGAAGAAGATCTTTCCAGGCGTGTACTCGCATTCGACGTTGGCAACCTATGAGGAGCTCTCAACGCTCGCCAGGTACCAAAACAGGCTCTCGGCTGTGGATTACGCAGTGGCTCTTGAGAGCGATGTCTTCGTGTTCACGCACGATGGAAACATGGCCAAAGCGCTCCAGGGACACAGACGCTACGATGGCTTTCGGAAGACAATCAGCCCGGACAGGTTCTTTTTCATGCCACGTTTATAGTTTCTCCCATTCTCTAACTTTCGTTCCACTCTCCTCCAGGCGAAAGCTGATTCGGCTCATTGATAGCTATGGAGCTGGGAATATGTCTTGGGATGAATTTGCGTCTCAAGTGAAAATGCTACACGAAGTGAGGACTGGAGGTCCAGCGCTAAGAGTTCCCGGTCCCGTCCCAAAGCACGAAGACTATTTCTTTGCCAACCCGTTTCCTGGTTGCATATGTGGAAGAAACAGCAGCGCCAGGGAAGTGTAGAGCGCTCTTTAACTTATGTACAAAGCCCGGGAAAGTTTTTTCATGGCATGGTTATGGGTCAATGTAGATTCAACATGGCTGAAATTTTCCATTTCAATTTAAGCACAGCACCACAAGTCAAGAACTTTGAGCTTGGATCCAGCAGCGATGGCCAAAGCCAGCGCCACCTTAACTCTAGTCGACGAGAAGCGAAAGTTCTCGAGCTGGACAGCCTTCTCGACGAGCCTGGCGAGAGATCTGGCTCCTTGATCGCCGGTCATGTTGTTGTTGTGGAAGTGGAAGAGCTTGAGAGAGCTGGCGGTGGTGACGATCTCGCATGCAGCACGATGGAGATGCTCCAGGCTCCGAAATGTCCCGGGATGCGCGGCGCTGGAGTATATAACTCGTGATCATCGTGATCGCTTCGAAGACTTGATAGTACCACCACACCACCACAGGAGCATCGTGAGAAGCGAACAATGAGGTTGCCTGGCCCCGCATAGTTGTGTTCTTCACGAGCAAGAGAGTCTTAGCTTCTCCATCACGAGGCCATGGTTCTTCAGCTGCTGTGGTCTCAAGTGATGGATTGTTTGCTGTGTCGGGAGTTCGTAGCGACTGTTTGTCACGGAACTTAACTTACAAACTTGCGAGCTTAGATCGAGACGTACTGCTTCTTACTGGAAAGTTTGTAGCTCCCGGTCCTTGGGAGCTGCCGGATCGTTAACCTTCATATCAGATGAGCCTGACTCCAGCAGGTAAAACATTGTTTCAGTCCACCTGGACCGAGTGATCGATCACGATCAAACGAAAACTTTGAGCCTGCGCAAATCCTGTGTGACCAGGTAAAACAACTTCACATTCTCAGAGTTCTAAGTAGCTCTGTGAAGATAAAACGATCACGATAATCACGAGTTATATACTCCAGATTAACTTTAATTTTCTCACTAGATCTTTCCAGCTGAAGAAGTTGGTAGAACCTTGTAAATTTTTTGAACAATATCATTGAGGGAGTCTGTGAAAATGGAATAAGTAGGCAAAGGAGTTTCATGAGATGGTGCATTGACCATGTTTAGCTGGAGATCAAAGCATTATAAGTCATTAAAGAGCCCTTACTTGATAATTACTTGATAAAAACGCCCTTCCTATTTATTCCTTAAGATTCTAAAGATTCATAGTGATAGTATATTCTAATCCCATGCACTACAAAAATGGTTAAATACTAATTAATTAGTACAACTACAATCTCATTTCTTTGTTTTTTTTCTATCTAGTAAACTCATGTTTGTGTAGGTTAGAAAAGTTGTTTGAGCTCAATTAGTATATACTAGTACCTAGCTCTATAGCCAGTTTGATACAAAGTCAAGCACTCTCAAGTTGGAAGAATTCTCAAGGCAGGCTGGAACAAGTTCCTAGAGCTAGTTCTTACCCAAAGTCTAAATATTTGAGAGACAAGAGAATGTAAACATCTTTTGGGATGTATTTTGTGAGTTGATTCTTGCAAGCCTGAGGAACTTGAGCTTCAAGAGGCTAGTGAGCTGGCCTAGTACCATGTTATAAAGATGTGTACAAAATCTCACTTTCCTCTTAAAGTGAGGTATTCTATTTCATGGTGGTGGTGGATATACCTAAGGATATTCTACTATTTAATGGGTATTATTTAATTAAATTAATCTTGTATTTACAATTTATAGACATGTATATAATTTATAAAGTTTCTTAAACACTTTCTAGTATATTCTTATTTATTTTACCATCTAATGGTTGATATGCAATAAGATTAATCTTGCTTTATAAATTATAAACATAAAATTCCTTAATATTCTAAATATTCATAGTGAAAGTATATTCTAATTCCATACACTACAAAAATGGTCAAACACTATTTAATCACTACAGCTACAATCTCATTTCTTTGTTTTTTTCTGTCTACGTGCTAGTGTAGGTTAGAAAGTTGTTTGAGCTCAATTAGTATATACTAGTACTTAGCTCTATAGTCAATTTGATCCAAAATCAAGTTGGAAGAATTCTCAAGGTAGGCTTGAACTTCTTAGAGTTGGTTTTTACTCAAAGTCTAAATAATTGAGAGACAAGAAAAATGTAAACATCTTTTGGGATGTATTCTGTGAGCTGATTTTTGCAAGCCCAAGGCACTTGAGCTTCAAGAGTCTAGCAAGCTAGCCGGTGCTACAAAATCTCACTTTCCTTTCAAAGTAAAGTTCTATTTCACCCTAGAATTTTGTCTGGTGGATATACTTAGAATATACTTAAATATTCTAGGATATTCTACTATTTAATGGGTATTATTTATTTTTTATAAAACATGTTTATAATTTATAAACTTTCCTAAATACTTCCTAGTATATTCTTATTTACTCTACCATCTAATGGTTGGTTAATCTTGATTTATAAATTATAATTATAATTATTAATAAATTAGATTATTTAATAATACTAGCAAATGTAAAAATCAAATCCTAACTGTCAAAAAGTCATTTTATAACCATGTCTTAGTGAATAATGGTGTTGATGCTTGCTTTTAGCTAATGGGAGGTTTGCATATCTTTGATTTTCTTGCTGAATTGCTTCTAGAGTGCTGTGATTCATAGCTCCTCAATCTCTTTATTTCCACCAGCACGCTCTCATGGGATTCCAGGGTATTCTCTACAGGCGTGCAACAGCATCATGGGTGAAAGGGTGAAGCTAAGCACCAAGATATCAATGCACTAATATCTATGCTTGAGAAAATCAATAGTGTCAAGTCGATCAAGTCAATGGTGTTTCAGTTCCCCAAAATGCTCAAGCTTGTCAAAGGGCCACTCCAAAAGGCTGGTTTCAAGCTCAAGATTGGCGTGAGTGGCAGCAAGAGAAGTGGCTTCTTCTCAACCTTAAGGTCACTGGAGTGTTATGGCATCCAGAACGTTTTTGTGATGGATCAATCCTTGGTAGAATCTGCAACCCATGGTTTGAGTTCACACTTGAGGTAACTTCCAAGGCTTAAAGTTCATGTTTATTCAAACTCTTAGGAAATGGCTAAATAATTTGATTTTCTGATGTGATCCCAAGCTCCAAACAAAGTTATAGTGACATGTTTGCAAGTTGATTGTCAAATTGCTCATATAAATGCATGTACTGAATGAATAATGTAGACCTGGCTGTGATTAACATCAGCTTTAATCAGCTACTTAATTTAGGACCCTTTTATGATGGTTACAGCAGGTAGGGACTCTAATTTGAGGTCTAAAAACCATGTAGAATATAGTAATTAGTGATCCAAACAATTTCCCTTTGCAACAGCAGATGTAGAGATAGTGAAAGTCTTAGTGCTTGATAAAATGGAATGTAATTACTTTCCATTCCCAGAATGAGTGATTCTAACTTAAGTCTTGCCAGCCTAGATACTAAAATCCCATTGATTCGATTTCCTTTTGTCTTTCAAACTTTTTTGTGGCTAGATCCAGACATTCAGAAGCACACTTCCAGCCAAAGTGTCTTGTAGCATTGTAGGAGGTAATTGATTTTATAATGTTTAGTCTATGTGTTTGTAATGGGATTTTAGTTATATAGATGGCTTCTGGGATCTGATAGTTTCCTACATGTTTATGGTTACTTCCTTAAACACAACAATTGCTATTTTGATATTATTCCAACTTAATTTTTAAAAAGCTATAAAGTGTTTGCTAACCAGATTGCATATTGCTAATTTATACATTAATGTGAAATACATTTAGTAAGGGTTAGGGCATTAAAGGCATTTTGCAAAGGGCAAGCTATGGCGCGAACAGAGCAGGAGCGCTGTGGATGCGTCACAGGTTTGTGGTCTCTCTTCCGACCAAAAAAGGCGCACAAGGGCGACAACAAGGTCCACCCGGAAGCCATGGACGCGGCGGCCTGGAAGCTGAAGGTCCAAGATCGTGTCTGTGAGGCTGTCTCGGGAGAAGCCGCCTTGAAGTTGAAGGAACTCAGGCGCGAGGTGAAAATCGTCTTAGAAGCGATACGACAGGAGCAAGGGCACAAGGAGCCGATCAAGCCGGAACAAGAGAAGGAGGACGAAGAGGAGAATCAAGAGAAGAAAGCGGAGCAGCTGAAGGAAGAGAAGAAAGCCGAGCAGGTGAACGAGGAGGAGAAAGAAGCCGATCAGATGAAGCCGATGAAGCTGGAAGAAGAGGAGGAAAACGAAGCCGAGAAGCAGCTGAAGGAGGAGGAGCAAGAGAAGAAAGCTGAGCAGCTGAGCGAGGAGGAGCAAGAGAAGCTGAACGAGGAGGAGAAAGAAACCGATCAGACGAAGGAACTCAGGCGCGAGGTGAAACAGGAGCAAGGTCACAAGGAGCAGCCGCAGCTGGAACGAGAGGAGAAGAATCAGCCGAATCAGCCGATCAAGCCAATCAAGCCGATGAAGCAAGAGCAGGAACAGGAGGAGGAGCAGCGGATGAAGCCAATGAAGCAGCAGCTGGAACAAGAGGAGGAGCAGACGATCAAGCCGATCAAGCAGCCGCTGGAACGGGAAGACGATCAAGAGAAGATGAAGCAGCAGGAGAATGACAAGCCCAAGCAGGAGGAGCAGCGACCCAAGCCAATTCTACTGCCAGCCGGGGGTCGTCGTCCAGGTATGGTTCCTTTTGCTTTTCGCATTCTTCTTCTACTGTGACTCACGATGGCCTTCTGGACTTGCAGGTTCCAGGCCGAAGATGGTTCGCTTCTCTTCCTCAGCGGAGGACATTCTTCCCAACGGCACCCGACGGCGGAGTGAAACCCATCTTAGCGATGGCCGAGGGGGATATGTTGAGTTCGCGTATCTCGAAGCTTTCCACAAGGCAAACCGGTGGCTAAACCAGAGGGGAAAAACCGAGAAGAAGATCCGCAGCTTGGAAGAGGAAAAGCGCGAGGAAACAGAAGAGGAAAAGTACGAGGAAAAGTCTTGGAGTGTTAGGGCGCTCCGGATTCTGATCAGACTCACCGAGCAGCTTTACGAGGAGCTCAACGGCAAATCCAGCGACCGAGAGAGGATCAAGCGAGCGCGGAAGATGATGAGGCTCCAGAAAATGCTGGATAGGATCCCGAGTGAGAGGAAACCGTGGAAGAAGCTTCAGTCTGGCGAGGTGGTCTTCGTGAAGG